AAGGCAATATTCCCCGCTTTCTTACTGCTACCGCTGTACTGTACTGTTTCGCTGGTGTTGATAGTATAGGTGTAGAAGCCCCTCCAGTACTATTCGACTGCATACTTGCTATTCGACCCCTTTTTAAAGCGTATGACTCGCAGCTGAGTTCCAAAGTGTAGAGAATTTATTGTTCTGCAATTTACTATCTTATGATTGTGTGGAGAAAATCTAAAGATACGAATTTTACGAAGTGGTTTTCTGACCTGTACAAATCGCAATCGTCAGTTCACAACTCCGTCTCTCGCCGGATACCATTGCAGTGCCCATGTTTCGAAAGGTGATTTTGCCTTGTACTGTCAAAACAATAGTAGTGCAAGTGTTTCACTTACGCTACTGAACTGTCAACACTGCAAAAAGTGGAGAAAGTTCCGTAGTATGGCTGTTTGACTGTCTGCAGTAGGCTGTACCCAGTTTAACATCAAACCTAACAACGAATTAAATTACCAAGTTCAAGCTGTATGCCGCGCGACACCCTTTTGATTCGGTATCTCTTTGCACTGTTGTAAAGCAAGTTGCACTGAGCAGATCCGAAGCAAGTAAAAACATAAGAAAGTAAACGAGAACATAAAAAACAAATATTAACGCCTGCTTTTAAGCATGCTAAGAAGCACTCTAAGGACAGTTTCACCTACTCTGTACTTCCAGATCTTAAGAGCGCTGAATGCACGGGTTTCTGTGGTTGATTTCTAATGTTTTTATTGCAGTTTTTTATTTAACAAACTGAAGCTGATAATTGCAAAAATAATTATCTGAGTAATTAATTCAATCTAAAGATTCTGACCTAATCACTGAATATTGGTCGACAGGTCGACAACACCTGTCATTGTGTATACTCGGTAGTAGTAGTACTACTACCGACTACCGAATATACAAAATGTAGCTTCCCATATCGCTTTTGTCACTGGCACTGTACCCATTTGTTATAGCTTCTGGTGATTTTTATATCGAAAGATGTATCATGTAGACAAGTTGATTTTATAAACCATATGGGTATCGTTTGCACAACTCGTACATAAAGTTTCCCCGCTTTGGCAACAAGGTGTAATAAACCAGCCATCTCAGATGATGTTGCCATAGCGTTTTTCTTTTGAGTTTTCGCAGAGTTTTCATATTTCAGCTGTAACATTGTTATTGAGGAGACCATCACAATGCCGTTTAACGTTTAACCCGTGGCAAAGCACTTAGGGGGTCCGATATCGACCGGCCACGGGCTCGGTGACTACTGTATTTTGTCGTCTTAAGGAGGATCCCAGAAAAACAGTTTCTGCCATTTCCCACAACATTTTTGACATTCCCTTTTCCGGAACAAACTGCTCCCGAGAGGGAATAGATTGTTTAATTAAAGCTGAGCGTCACAATCTCACCGTCTTATTGTTCCTTGTTACCTTTGTGTTAGCTGATCACACGGACGGCTGACTTTCAGGTAAGGGAATAATGACATAATTTCCTGCTTGATGGAGAATTTCGGCGAGCCCGTCGGATGACCCGCTGGATTTAATTGCTCGGTACTCTTGCCGTGGGGTTTGGCTTTACAGTCCTAGCCGGGTATTGCAAAGGTATAATATATGATATTTTGCAGAGGTACAGATACGGTATGTCAATGAGTTTGGGCGATACAAGGACTGCTGGGAACGAAGCATCCATTAACCGCGTAAAACGCTAACAAACACGTTTTGCCGGTAATTCGTCCACTACTGTTGCGCGAGTGTCACTAGCTGCGGCAAAAGAACTGACAAATGGAGCAGCATCCAACAACGGAGGATAGATACTATAGATATTGGGTACCACTCAGTCACCATCTGAAAGACACACATACATCTTACTGTTACTATTTGCCGTCGATGCTGTCAGTCTCAGGGACCGTGGTCATTTTTGTAAGTTTCGTTATTATTATAAGACCAATGGATTACTTTGATCCGTTCGTTAGAAAACTTGCTTTCGCGATCTACATGTACAAACATGTATCTGTACGAGTATGACTAAAACACGGTGTTCGATGCTGCTTTGTTGCTACTGACGCCGCCAGTTTGGAGGGAAAAGCGCACAGTTTGGGTTTCCGTGGTCGGTAGATAAATAATAATCCGTAAAAAATAAAAGCCGTCATACCTGTTTTGCTTTCAGAAATCGCTGAAAATCGTTAAAACCGTTGTTACGCTTGATGCGGACTTCCTTATACGCTGTCTAATAATCCGACACTAATCGACATGCAACGCCCCAAACATGCTGTGAAGGCATCCATTGCACAAACATTATTTCCTACCAAACCTTGTTCAAAGAATGGAGGAACTCAAATGGCGAGGTGCCCTTGTACTTCGTGCAACGCTCCTTGCAGCTGATCAACTGTCTTTGCAGATTTTACACTCAGAACAGTTAGAGCATAAGCAGGCGTGGCCGGATCACGATTCTGCTAAATCAAGCGAGTACTGCACATTGTCGAGGGGATCAAGAATTTGCTTTGCCAATCCAAGTGGAAGATATTATTCCAGGAAGGTATTCATCGAAGGTATACAGTAATCGGAAGTATTTGGTAAAGAAACCGTACATAATAGTGCTGACTCATCTGCATGCTTTTATGGATAGGTTGCAGTGTTCGTTGCCTCGCTGCATTATTCTTACTAGGTTTCTCCATTTTTACTAGGTTCATCCTTGGCACTGGATTGATTTTATATTGCCCTGTAGAGCCAAAAACGTATTTTTTAAAAACATATCGAAGACGAAAGTCGCTCAAGCCTTCCAGATCCCCGAGAAATGATGATTCGCAATAATACCACTACGAGTAATAACGGTAATGAAACCGAATCCACTGCTCAGATGAGTTTGGCATACATTGGAGCGGTTGCGTCGTTCTTCGAGATCTTCTGTGAGATTACGATTGTCTCCGTGTTTCTGTCGACCAAAAGACTGATTACCGCATATAATATCTATCTCATCAACATTATGCTGTCAGACTTACTTATCTGGATCGTTCGGTGTGCCACGTGCTGGAACATGGTCATCCATGGGTTCCGAGCTAACCGCGGTATGTTCTGGTGCGCCATGGACATTCTGAATGAATGGATTATCTCTCCCGACGCCGGGGCAGCTCACATCCCGCTGGCTCTCAATCGCATGTGGGCAGTGACTTTTCCTCTGTCGTATCGCACTTATCACAAGAAATGGGGAGCAATAACTGGCTGTATTCTTCTGCATGTTGTGACCGTGGTAACTCGTCTGCCGCATTTTGTGTTAAACATGTTGTTGCACACCGGCGACAGCGGCCACTGTGGGTTAATAACCAATGTTCTGCCAAAACTGCTGGCGCTGATAAGAATGGTCTCCATGTCCAGTCTGGTAATCATATTTGGATCGCTGCCGTATGTGCTGATCATGCGACGTTTAAAGCGTAGACGCGTTCAAGCCGCGACAGGTGAATTAAATCCACTGTCTCCATTCATTGTGTATCGGTTTCACATGTTTTACAGATTTTTCGCTTAATGTTAAACAGTCCTTGGCGGAAACACTTACAATATAATGAAACAAAATGTAATGTCCATTTTTGAACGGCAGGCAACTTCAGTGTATCAGTTCTCAGTATTGTCTTTGTGGTATTTTTAGCTCGGCAGGCTGCGCCCAGATCCTTGGCAGTTAGTGCTAACAAGGTCTACGTTGTATCCACCACTTTCAGTTTCATCATGTGGCTGCCAATAACTGTGTCGACCATGTTATTTCCATCTTGGAATACGCTGTACCAGAGCACCGTACTCTTTGGCGCCCTGGGGTCGGCAATCCACTCCGTCACGTGTGCTCTTTACGCGCCCCTCGCACGGGATATATTTTCTGGAAAACTCTGCAGTTTTTTGTCTTTGTTTGTCATTTTGGCGCCAAAACCGCGCAAAATAAATGCCGAGAATACAAATGAAACAACAGCTAAAACCCGCGGCCACCAGTAGTCGCGGAGATCGAAGAAAATGCATGCTTCACACTTTGCTGGATATACTTTGAATCAGTTTGATTGCATACGGTGACCCGTAACCACTGCATCATGCAACTCCTAAATAAACTATTAACTGCAGGTCGCGCTGCAGTACTGATTCTTGACACTGTTGGCAATTTACGGTTTTCTTTGCAGTAGACGTATACGCAACAAAAAAATTATTTACACGAATGCAAAGGTACAAATGTAGAAGTGCAGCAAATTATTTAAACGTATTTACTCAGAACATAATCAGTCATACCCTTATGGTTAGCCGATATTAACCATCTTATCAGGAATACTGCTTATAAACAGTCTTACGAGAAACAGAAAACACATACCGCCGTTGGTCTGACATACAGTTGTTTCTGAGCCCCGATATTGCACGCTGCAAGTTCAAATGGAAGCTGAAAGGGCCGCCCTGAGGGATGAATCTGCAGTTATGTACCAGTTACATACCAGTTTGTTTACCAGTTACGTACGAATGCTGCTTAGTACGAGGCCTGATTTTCTCGACTTTTCATTCACGCATCCGGACGGTGTGGCCCTTTGAATGCTCATATCCCAAAAGGATGGTGACTCACACCATCTCAATTCTGGACTTCCGGTAGCACCAAGTAGGTCGAAACCAACACGATCAGAAACTAGACCCGTTTTCACTCACATAGCCAAAAAGTTTTGTTAAAAAATTATTTCTTTGAAATTTGTTACTGAATTAATAAGGTCACTTCTGGTGTGAGTAACCGTGCTAGTAGACGATAGTGAGCGATAATTACAGGTTCCATGTTTCTTTTCTTGTCCTTTCATGATATAAACCGTAAAGCACCAAATTACAATTTTCTGACCTCTTAAAACGGATAGAAGTTAACGTGCTACAGAGTACAGGCTACAGTATATCACTCTGCAGTTGTTCCGTGAACATCCTCACTGAATATGTATTGGCCGATAATTCTGGCACTTCGTATGCGATTGTGATTCTCCTATCGATTTCGAGCGGAAAATTGGCATTCTGTATTGTATAAAAGGGGTAGGTGTATGCATGTATCGTATCACATAAACAATGACACATCGTAGTAACAGAAACAATGGCTACTGTAAAATATAAAGCAAAGTGGGATCGATGAGATCGCCACTCACGAAAACAAACATACTTTTAACAACACAATGTGGTAGAAAATAATTCTAAATGACACTGGCCTACCGCTTTCCCGTTTTTCTCGAAGAGAACATTAATTTCATATTTCAGCTATAACATCGTTATTCGCGGGGACTGCTGCATGACCTTTCGCACGGGGCGGTGCACTGGGGCGCCCGATATCGGCCGGCGGTCGTTCCGGCGACCATTTCATTGTCTTGGAGATGATGCCGGGAAAACCGTTTTTCCCTTTCTTCCCCACATCTTTACTCTCCCGTTTGTCCGCAATAACGACCATTCCATCATCCACCACGGATTTTGGCCGATGGGGAATAGGCGGTTTATCACGGAGCGTCACATTGACTGCGCTATCGTCTCTCGTGACCTTTGTGTCGGTGGGACGCGCGGGACGCTTTACCGCTGGAGAACTGGCGGCCGAGGACGAAGAAGAGGAAGACGACGATTTCTTAGACGTAAGTTCCTGCTTCTGCATGATTTCGGCCAGGGACGTTTCGCTGGGTTTGCGCTCCATGCTCTTGCCGCGTTGTTTGGCTTTGGATTCCTTTCCCTTTTTCTGCGGGGGTAGTATGTGTGTATGAGCGATACAGGGATTGGCATACTGTATGGTACTGAGCCAGGCTAACCTTGTCTAGGGCGAAACGCTGGCGCAGCTTGTCGACGAAGTTGGAATTGTCCGGCTGCTCTTTGATTACCATGTATGGGCCATCGGAACTTTGGGAACGAAGCGGCCTAACAGCACGCGAATTACCGTTTTATTAGTGTTAGAATTACCGAATAACTTTGCAGCTATTTTATCAGCGTAGTACGTACAAGTGCATTTTTGCCGGCAATTCGTCGACTGATACTTCGGTGTAACCGGGTGGCGGTTTGGAATAGAACACAGATTCTCCATTAGCTGCAAGTAATGCTAGTCTTGAAAATTGTAATAATTTTATCATCACATATATTAAATCATTAACATCTGTTGCCTCCTCATTCTGTCGAAATAAAACTAAACATACAGATAATTCGCATAAAATTAATATGATACATATGCCAGTTAAAGTAAACAACATGTTGACACTGACTATGTTGCGTTCGCGTCTTGGGAACGAATGCTACTCTTAAGGTGGCAGCTGGCAACTGGCAAGACGATAACGAAGCAAAAGTCTGCAGCAAAACTTACCGGGTTTTGCCGGTACCGGCTTTGGTTGTACAATTGGAACGCCATTAACCGGCGGAGCAGGTGGCGCTTCCAGCGGCTGCGATACGGCGGTTATTGGGAATTTCGGTGATGGCTTCACTTCGTTGGATTTGATTTCTGCAAACACCGCGTCGTGAGTCAATGTTTGACCTGTCACATATACAATGGTACTAATCAAACGTACTTTGCTTCATGCCACGCGGTTTCATGGTGAATTCGCCCAAATTCTTGGTCTGATCCAACAAGTAATAACTCACAATCAACTGCTCATGTTCCGTGAACACCCCGCTGTTCTTCACCAATCCGGCCAGGTTCTCCTTAGGAATGGACACCAGACGGAAGTCCCGGATAAATGACTCCATGGTCCTCCTGACCTTTGGTTTCTGCAGTTCGAAATCCGCGGTTTGTTTCTTCTTCTTCTCTTCTTTGTTTTTCTTTTCTTTCTTTTCATCATCGCTGGACGAACTGCTACTGCTGCTGCTGCTGGATGACCTTTCCTTGGGTTCCCGCAGATTCGCCCATTCCAGTACGCGCGCAAATACCGCCGCTTCGGTGATTCCACTAAAGCTATCTAGAGCTAAGAGCTTCTTAATAAAATTTTCCGATACCCGTACGAACAGCGGATCCATGACGACGAGATCGGTGGTGTCCTGGATAATGTCGAAACAGGGTTTCTCCAGATCCGTGATCCCCAGATCCAGCGCGCGCTGCGTGAGCATGATGAAGTGCCGCGGACGAAAGTGCGGAAGGCGTTGAAGGAGGAGATCTTTCATGATATCGTACAGGTAGTGCATATCGTAGGTATGGGCCGCGTGTAAGAGATGCACAGCCTCTAGAACGCGTTGGGGAGGGCGGAGCTTACCGGTATAGGTGTATTGGATGATGGTGTGAAAGATTTCCGGTGAAGTATCTATAAATCGCACCTTTTTGGGTTATAAAGATTTTTTAATAAGATTTTCTACACTACTTGAAGAATGTATCAATGATAAATTTGTTATCGAAGCGGTCTGTTTCTGCGTAGTACTTATACAATTAATTGCAAATTAATTTAATTAAATGTGTAAATGTTTGCGGAATTTTGAAACTGCAGTATACTAAGCCAGGCAAGTGTGGATACATGCGCCGATTGGCCGATATCAATCTGTAAGCTACTCGCTGCATTATTGAGTTACAGAAAAAAATTTTGACGCCACCCGATCCTTGGAGGTGTATAAAGGGTACGTATTGATATTATAGTGCACAAGCGTTAGAACTACCGCCTCATTTGCCGCCAACGTACAGAGTATATAGAAGCCCTTTTACTACGATTGCAACGGCGAGTGATTATAATTCGTGTATTTCGAAGTACCCATCATCCCATTCAAGATTAATCCCGGATTTATCTACGCAAAAACAAATTGTAAAAACAGCTGCGCTGGCGCAGTTATGAGAAACATTAAAGTGACTACCGGGAATAACGGGTCTATTGTCAGACTGTTAACAGTCGGGTTTTTGATTTCTGTCAGCTTCTCTGCGTGCGTGATAATTTACTGTTCGACGACAACTTAACTGTGAAATCTAAACAAAATATCCAAACCTAAGAAATATTTTTGAATATTTTATTAAGTACGTTCTGTACAGATAAGTGTGAAAATATTCAAATTTAAAATAGTAACTTCTCATTCAAACCTGCTACACCTGTTTTATATTAAAGCGGGAAGTATACAATACCGTACGTTCAACACACAGGGAATTTTTAGATTTCTTTTCGAATTTTTTACGTCTTCCATAGATAAAAAGTGTACTTACAGTACGTATGCGAATGCACTTACCGGCTATGGTTATTTCATCATCACGTTCGTGTTCTTTTAAAATCTTGGCGAACGTCGCGCTCCGTGTAGCCAGTATCAGCCGGTGCGCTTTGATACGACTGACATTATCCCCGTTTCCCACGATAAAAAGAACATCCTTATATCCCTCTAACGCCTCATCATCCAGCAACGCCCGTAGCCACACGCGTAAATCCGTCTGCTCGTTAATATCTCCGGCCGGCGTTTCCACAGAATCTTTGCGAAACAGCACTGCATATTTGCCATTATAATCGATCTCTCCATCAAAAAATTCTTCGTCTTGCATTTTTTATAACCGAAAATAAACCTAAATCGAAGTATAAAAATCTAAAATTACGGGAATAAAAAATTAAATAAATCCGGCAAAAAATTACAATCAAATTCAAGAAAAAATTAAAACAATTCGACACGAATACGATCGTGCGCGCAACAATGATGAAAATGCGCCTGTCGGTCCGGCATTATAAAACAGGTACCGGAAATCACAGCCGTGCGTGTGAGTCAAAACTAAACAAATAAAAACGGCGATAAACACGACGATCACCGGTATCGTGTATGTGTAACACAGCCATAGCGGTACGATTGTGTATGTACCGTGGATGATTGCCATGCTCCATAAAGCTATCCGGTCGTCATAAATCTTTACCATGTGTAAACCCCAATGTACATGTGTAATGTATGTGTTCCCAAACATTGCTAACAAGTTTACCGGTCGGGGCGTCAAAATGTATGCACAGTGTATAACATAGCAACTCACAATCAGCTGTGTTAGTCAGGCGGGCGCTGGCTACGCATGGAAAGGTTAACAATCCGCCGGGTTATTCAGATTAGTGCCTGTTTGCATACAAAATGCATTATTCCTAGAATTTTCAGTGTCACATAATATTATCTGCCGATTACTTTCAACTGTACCTACATGTGCGATTTGTACGGTGGCTAATGTGTGCCGCATATAACAAACCAAAATTTATTCATAATAAATCGACTGAGGGCAACTACGTCCCGTTATAATTTCACCGGAACAAGACGCTCTAATAATTTTAATCAACTCTTTAAAATGATTGATTTAATTTGTGACTAATGTTTTTGTTTTTTCGCTAACTGTAACATACTCAGATATGAGATAAAGTATGATATTATTGTAAACTTGTGCGCTATAGTAAAAATCAAGTACGATGGATTCTCGCATATGCACGAGTATTTATTATGCTTTCCATAATTCTCAATTCTTGAACCAATTTGGTACAATCAGACATTAAGGAAAATCGAGCACGTTAAACAGAAAATAAAAATCTGATTGCAGTTGTGCTTGTGCAAACAGGTGTCCTATTTCAGGCTATTTGTAACTATTGGCTCCATTGAATCCAAATAATCCATTGAGACCGCCCCAGAACATCGATTGCGGACTAAGCCAGCCATAAAGTCCCATTCTGCAAAGAAAACAAACACGATTAAATTCCATTTTACGGATGCGCATTTATAAAAACATGCAGACTTTTAAAGGCCGAAAATGTTTTCGAACGCTTACCCGTATCCTGGGAACCCTTCGTATCCGAATCCTCCGCCATAAAACCCACCCCCAAATCCCGGTCCGCCGCCGTAACCCCCGCCTCCGTAACCGCCACCCCCATATCCACCCCCACCGCCTCCGTACCCGCCACCCATGGCCCCGCCCCCATACGCCGGCTCCCCACCGCCATACCCGCTGGCGGCTGCCGGCGCCGGACCAACTGCCCCGCTATCCTTCACCGCCGGTTGTCCGGCCGGGACGGGTCCAGGTGCGACAGCGCCGTTAGGAATGGACCCGGCATTGACCGAGCCGGCGTTGACAGCCCCACCGGCCGACGCCCCGGTGGGTGCCGGAGCTACGGTCGTGCCGCTAACCGTAGTGGATCCGCCGGCCGACGCTCCCGAATTGTCGATACTGGATCCAGCCGATGCGCCGGTTGTTGTGACGGAAGCGCTTGTCACAATGGACGACTGATCGCTACCGCTCTGGTCTTGATCCGATCCCGACGGCATGGTGGTCTTACGGTGCGTGCGATCATCGCCAACTCCCGAGGCCGAGCCAGCAGTGGTGGTTGTCACGTCGTTTTCATCGCCGTTGTTGTCGTCGAGGTCACCCGCGCCGCCCTGTCCATTCCCGCTCCCGCCTCCGGGAGTCTTGCCCTTCGTCTTGGAACTGCCGTCGCCATTGTCCCCGCCACTAGAAGCGGTGGGCTTAGGCGTCTTTCCTTTGGTCCGGGATGTGCCGTCGCTGGCTTCACCGCTGTCGGAACCGCCGCCCGAGGAAGCCGGTTTCTTGGTCCGGGAGGTGCCTTCACTGCCTTCGGCGGTGTCAGAATCGCCACCCGCCGGTTTTCTGGCTTTGGTCCGCGAAGTGTCGCCGCTATCCGCCGCGCCGCGTTTTTTGGTGGTGCGGCCACCGCTCACGGAACCGGAGCTGGATTCTTCGGAGCCAGTACTACCGGCAATCTCCACACCAGATGGTTTGCCCTGTGAAGTTTGACTGCCGCCGCTGGAGGTTTGGTCACCTGTTCCGAAGGTAGATTCTTCCTCCGAGATGTAAAAGGATGTCCCGCACTGACCTGTGAACAAATTCCCGTTTTTCGATAAGCACCTAGAGTAGCTTTTATCCTATTTCTTAATGTGTCGTTCTCCTATAAAGTATTCCACTGGATAAGAAATTAAAATACTTAACATGCACAGTGAATCAAAATTCGAAGTACGGTAAAATAAATAAACGAATTAAAATTTAAGAAATAAAAGAAAAACAATGAAATTCAAATTTATTATTCAAATTTAAATGACTGGCTGATTAATTATTATTCATTTCTGACCCAGAGTGACGTGCCTATTCTACAAAACGTACCATTTTGTCCACTGTGCACCAGTAGAAGGACATGCGATGAAGAGGCCTTGTTGGTGGGAATGTTCACCTGGATCATACTGTTCCCGGAGGAAAGATCGCTGGGACGGCTCCTGTTGGTAACGGCCAAAGCTTGGACATCCACATCGATGCCGGAGGATAACAGACGGAACAACCGCGCGACGAACGACTTGGAATTGCGTTTGCCCAGTTCTTCCAACGTCAGTGTGTCTTGGTAGTTGGTCACGCCCATCTCCGCATCATTAGCTGTAAACAATCACAAAAATTCAGAATTCACTTCGTTGTATTTATTCATTCATATCTACCATATATTTTGCACAGTCTAGTTTTTCTGTTTTATATACCGTATCATAATATATCCACTTTTATTTCTTTTGCATCTGATAAATTTGCTGAATTCATAAATTCGGGAAAACCAAAAGAAAATTAGTTAATTAACCACTTTAATTAATTAACTACTATTACCTATACAATTATCAAACTTACACTGAATGGACACAAACGCTCCATCAACGATCAGCTCCACCGCATTGGGAAAACACGCGCCCACTCCGAAATTCGCGGCAGTCTCACTGGCATTCCCGGCCAAATTATCGGCAATGCGGGCATCCAGCGCGCCGACATTCATCGCAAACGCTTCCTTCATCGGCGCCAGGGCTCCCTTACACTTGGTGTTCTCCCCGCCTCCGCTGACAATAGCCTGCGTCGCGCCCTGAATGGTGAAGGTCTGACAGTCAGCGGCCACCTGAATGGGCGTGGTCGCGGGGATGGTGCGGGCCTTGGCGATCTCGTCATCCGTGGCGGTGCGCACCAGTACTCGCACCTGCTTCACACCCGTACTTTGTCCCGCCCCGCCGGTACCGGTAGTGACACTATTAGTGGCGGAATTAACACCGGTATCGGTTCCGGCCGCGGCGCTGCCCGCTGCCGTGACCCCGGCGCTGGCATACTGGTTGACGCTGAATACGAGGGTGGCGCTGACTTCGGTCTTCTTCCGTCTGCCGGTCTCCGCTACGGATTTGGTGTCGGCGTCCTCGCCGTACGCCTTGGCGGCCTTGCGGGTGGTGGGTGCTGGCCTGGTGGTCTCTTCGTCCCCGTATGCCGGAGCGGGTTTGCGTGTCGTCGGTGTGGGTTTGTTGTAGGCTGCTTCTTCCGGCGCTTCGGTGGTCTCCGGTTGGGTGGGCCGGACACGACTGCGGCGGCGTGTGGGCGCCGCGGTTGTCGATTTTGCGGCTGGTGGTCGACCTCTTCATCGGTATCAGGAAGCACTTCTCGCGAGCTACAACGTCATAAACCAAATAGTAATAATGCAGCATTTATTAAGGGAAAAAAATAAAGGTCACAGCATAAAAAAAGACTGATAATAATAAAACAAATTTTGAATATTGAATATTGAAATATTGAATTCGTAACAAGTAAAAAAAAGATAGGTTCAACAATATTTCAATAAATCAATTAACCACGCCACTAGCAAGTAGGGATGTTAATTAAAGTTATGCACGGAAGGTCACCTTGGAGCCGGCGTTGTCGTTTTGGCTTTGGTGGTGGTTGGTGCCGGTTTCTTCGTCGACGCCTTAGGATACGCATTCTCCTCTTGTGAGGTTTCCGCGATCAGCTCTTTTCCTTCAGCAGCCGATGTAGTCGCTTTCGTAACAGCAACACTGACCTTTGATGTGGCCTTTTTCGTCGTTGTTTGTGGGAGGTAATCGCCTTGATCCTCGTCGGTGTCAGCAGTATCATCATTCGCGCTGCAAAGTAAAATGGTTATATCCGTGTTTAAATTGATTTATTCGAAAATATTCCCCATCGAACGACGAAATAAATCATCATGCAATCTCTCGTCATGCTTAATTCCCCGCATTGTCAATTTGTCATGCAGCATGCATTGATCAAATTTCTCTTCACTCAATGCCACTCTGGCGGTGCACTCGGTTCACTCGCAACCTGTACCTCAGAGAAGCGACCAGTTTCTTGAAAAAATCCCCGGCTGCTATTTGGCCTTTGGAGGTTTTACTGGAATACATGTATTGGATATATTTTTTGTTAAACACAACTACCGCATTTACGATTAATTTTTTTGCCGCTAGTTTAATTTCTCGTACGCTGAGCACACTATAAATCCATGTGTTTGCCGATGTAAAGTTTCTAATCCGTGAAGATCGTAGAAGAACGGCAAACGGAATTAAATCACAATACTGATTATTACCTGGCTGCTTTGGTCGTACCGGCTTTTGTTGATATTGCCGACCTACAAAAGTTCAAATATTTTTTAACCACCGTAACCCGTTTAAAATCATCATATATATTTCAGTATTTTTCTCACGGTTTTTTTGTGGGTGCTTCAGCAGTCGTGTCCTCATCCTCTTCTTCTTCCGTTGTAACCACCGGTGCTACTGTCGTCATTCGCTGCCGGGCTTTCGTGACCAACGCCGCCAACGTCGTCGGCAGTTTCGTCGATTTCGTCACGGAAGCTACCTCTTCCTCCGATGACTCCGCAATCAGCTCCTGATTCTGACTCGCCGCCTTGGTCGTTTTACTGGGCAGCGCTCCGTAGTCCTCATCCGTCGATTCCGCCCGTTTGGTTGTGGGTGGTTTGGTGACCTTCGGCTTAGCCGTTGACGCCTTCGGATCAGCGTTTTCTTCGTTGGACGTCTCGGCGATCAACTCCTTCCCTGCAGCCACCGCGGTTGTCGCTTTGGTTACGGCCACGGTGACCTTTGGTGTAGCTTTCACAGTGGTGGCTTGCGGACGGTAATCGCCTTCACCTTCATCGGTATCGTCCTTCGCGCTGCCAACAGGACGAAATTATTACTTACATCCGTGCTTTAAATCACTTGCCAAATACCAGACAGTATCACGACTGATCACGCAAACCCATCGTGCATACTGGTTTTCTCAGTCCCACGTAGTTTCATGCAAACATGCATTTACACGCAAATAATATGTAGTCTACTCATGCCATGCAACCATTTGCCACACACTTCAACCACTCTCTACCTTGCTGCGGCAAACATCTTCAACATATCCGCGAACGTCATCTGGCCTTTGGAATTTTTACTGGAATATTATTTCAACGTGTGTGTTAACAGAATTAATTTCCTGTTGGTATATGTCGCTTTCTGGACACGCGCCATAATTAAATAAATGTCTGTCAGTTTGGCTCTGCTCATCAGGCCTTTGAGATTCTTGCCAGCGTCGAAAAATGTTAAACTCAATCAAACGTCATCATCATGAAACTCGCATGAAAGTCTAAACTACCCTGTACTGTTTGTCATAAAAAAATTACGCAAATATTTAAAAAGGTCACTGCACCTGGGCGCTGTAGTTGTTGCTGCTGCTTTCGGCTTCGCCGGCCTAAAAATTTACAAAGAAGAGTGCTCACGTGGTGCCTTATCAGAAACCAATAAGTATAAATGCTTTAAGAAATGCGACGTTCGATATCGAGTTTTTCTTACTGTTTTGTGGTAGTCGCCACTATCGTGGTGTCCTCGTCCTCCACTTCCTCTTCGGTCGTCACAACGACCGCCGCTGTCGTCTTCCGTTGCCGGGTTTTCGTGGTCGCTGCAGCCGCTGTAGTGGCTTTCGGCACCGAAGCGGTTTCCTCCTCAGATGTCTCCGAGATCAGCTCTGTACCGCCGCTCGTTGTCGTCGCTTTCGCAGATTTCCGCGTGGTCACACCAACATACACTTCTTCAGTGGTGACCTTTGGAGCGACGGTTGTCGTTGTCGTGGCTGGTGCTTTCTTTCGGGGAGTTGTACGTCGCGGTGCGTAGGCCGCTTCGTCGTCGGTGTCATCCTGCGCTGACGATAGATCAGTCAAGAAGGCGATCACTGAAAATTCAGGCATAACTTTGTCTTGAAATATAAACACAATTTTGTAGATGTATTTTATACGATGTCCGTGTATTGCATACTATATAAATATAAGCATATAATGTCCCATGCATTGGCGTCATGAGCCGCATTGCCGTTGATTAAATATGACGCAATCCCAGTAACATTTAACAAAACTAATTACTGCCAAGATTTATCATAAATTTATTTGGCACCCACATACGTTCGAGCGACAGCCATACCACAGCAACCAAAAACTGTACAAATATTATCAGTTTCTTTTTATTATTAAGCGCTTTGAATAATTTGCCTACTTTCTGCTATTAATCTGGAAATACAATGTTCCGTAGTGCGATGGCGTTCTAGTCCCTCATTTACCATCTCGAACGAGGGAATCATGATAAAATTATAGAGCATTATGGTTAACCGATTAATTTCTAATTCTTTTTTCTGTGGCTAACGAACCATTTTCTTTAATAATCTTTCAGATTTCATTTATTTTAAAAGTGTTATGTGAATGCACTTTATAAACGTACATATAAGTATATTGTTCTCATGGATATTTTTTTCAACGAGTATAAACTTCTGTAAACCTTGGAGAAGGCAGTACAAATAATTTTTTCAATTAACGGAGATTGGTGACTGACCTATCACAGAGGTTAGGGAGATCCACAGGAAATTCCTTGGCAGCATGGTAATGTAAAAAAAATGAAGGATTGCCGGCAATCGTATTCGAGAGTATATCCAACAACAATTTCCCGTGTAGGAACAAATACTTGCGGTTTCCCAGGGCCGAGGCTATCACTGTTTCACAGTAACATACTTAATTAGATTTCCGCCGCGCTGGTTAGCGCTGCCTAAGGTCACTCATCGGACCGAGGATGATCATGACATTTTTTAGTTGAAAATAATACCAAAAATAAAATAAAAAATTACAGGATGTAGTAATCCAAAAGGTTGAAAAATACTGTAAATACCGGCAAGTATATTACTGACCGGCGGTTTTACAACGCAATACAAAGGTTCACTTTGCCACAGCAAATAAAAATTATGATAATGTCTATTAGCATTAATGGGCAGCTTCTGCCAACGAAGATGAGTCCGCAAGAAATGAAGTGTGACGATACCGTTGCTTAGACAGTAATTACGATGCCATCGCCGGTCTTAGAATCTCTGAAATATAGAGTAAAATGATGCGAACGCACCGCCGCTGAACGTTGCTTTTTTTGATGAGTACAATCTGGATCACAGCTCTGCGCACCGACCTATTTCACAGTTTCATGATAGATTAATTCACTGTCATGCCGCAAAACTTTCACTTCACAAAATGAAAAGAAATGCTCAATGTTTGTGGCACTTGTGGGAAACTGAATGTTAACCAGCTCACTGAAAAATGTCGGTCGACGTATTTAAAAATTCTTACACACTTCAGTTTCTTTAATTCTAATGACGACTTTTCACCGGTGACCTTCACACTATATAATTCGTACAAGTACCGCAATATACCGCGAACAACCTGACACAAGAGCGTTACTCTTAACGTTTCACTTACTACGCTCCATTCGTAAAAATATGCCACAAAAATATTATTTATTAAATAAAGGCAATCGAAAACCGCTATCAGTCACAATGGAAAATTTTAAAGCGAACTGCTCGATTAAACCGCACATTTTTCAGTTCTGCCCTTGTCCGGACGACAAAGAACTGCACAGTATGAAGTGGTGCAAAGAATCAGCACAACAAACCTTGAAGAAGATAGAAGATGATACACCGTCAAAGTCGACGACCGGCAGCATAATTACTGCCGAAATCAACATCATTTGTTTTGTTAGCGGTATGAATCTGTTTTTGCCGCACGTCTGACGATGAGTCGATCGTCTCCATTGCCTTTCAGCATCATGATACTACAAAACTGAAAAAAAAACACTACACAAAACTAAAAATCGGGTGCCCACTTCGAATGTGGAAAAATTTCGGTTTCGAACTGCAACTGACTGAAAACGTTACGATTAAACAGCAATTTTTCGATACTGCGCCGACACACTACACTTGTGATCACGTAAACGGCTGTTACGAAACGCAAAAATCTACGGATGTTCAGAAGTCTTCAAATTTTATCGCTTAATGCTTCGAATTTCACCCAAAGCTTTCTTTTTATCTGGATACGAACGTTCCAACTTTCAGCAGTAAAACGAATTAATATGTATTTAAATTAAATCATTAATTCAAAAATCGCTCTAAAAACGCAAGCACACCCGGGAAAACATCCTTTCTTCGTAAAATGGCAAATACAACGGAAAATACCACAGATCTTCGACCACGTACACAACGAGAAAAAACTGACTGTTCTAAGCGTGAGTGCGGGTTTTATCCGTAAAAAAACTCCTGAGTACCCAGATTTGGCCCAGTCCAACAAATACCATGAAAAGAGACTGTCCTACGGACCACCAGTTGGTCGATTCGTTCAGGTCCTCAGCGAACTTCCGGTCCTGGGCTTCCCGTAGTCGGCGATGAGTGAGGGCATCTTCCACGTCGCGGAGATTATTTTGGATGACTTCAGCCGATGTTTCCAGCTGAAAAGAAATCAAAACATCGTACAATACTGCTGTAGAAACCGTCAAAATTAAATTTCAAAAAATCAACACACAATTAACAAAACACATAATTAACATAACAAACATAACATACATAATTAATATAACATAACAAAACACATAATTAACAAATTAATACACTACAAAAACAAAAAAAATTATCATTCATAAAAATCACAATTATCGCAAAACGCGGTATATTGCACAGATTTCAGCAATACACAATGTAATAACGATGAATTCAGAAAAGTATATTGCCATTACACTACCTTCTTACCCATTATTCAACAAGCAGTGTCAAGCACCAGCGTGAATTGGTATTAATTTTGGTAGGGAAAAATATGGTTCAAAACTTCAAATGAATATATTGTAACTCAGTATAATGCTGCGAATTAACTCAGCCAAATCTTCCAACTAACCACACAGGTTTCTGTAATTTCTGCCAACAATAAGTACCAAAGACAATCTGCCAGAAATGCTCACCTGTGTGAGAACGGTATCCTTTTTCATGGGATTGCGGAAGGGATGCTCATCGCCCACATACCAGTCCATGTACACCAGTTTGTGCGAGAAGGTGCTGAACTCGTTGCCGAAGCACACTTGATGGGGGCCATCCACTTCCGCCGTAAATTGATGCGAATCGTACTCTTTCTTGACGCCTTTGTACAGTTCTTTATGATTCGGATCGGTTATGGTGCAGTCGATATCGTAGTGGCCGCCGGTAACAACCTACAGCGAAATTCAGAATATTATACACATTAATCAATTCACTCACATTATTTTCGCGATTAAAAGCCACTGTGAGTCGTTGACTATCAACAGCGCGCAGAAGTGTAGTGCAGTGGCGGTATCGCCTTCAAAAGTATCTCAAAATCCTGCCAACTATTGCATAGTTCAACAGTTCGAAAATTTGAAAAAGCATTATCTAAATTTTTTCTATGCAGAAACTCTTGGAGAGCAAAACTTTTTTCATTTCATCAGCACTAGTTTGTTTTGAATAGTTTCCGGTGTAAACATTTCACCTGAAATTCCACTGTGCTCTGTTCGCCTTTCTTAATATCTTCAAAAAAGCACTGCGTATCACGATCCTGTAGTTCGAAGGTGAGTTCCACGGCGGATACGGCGAGAAGATAGCAAGAAAGAAAAACATAAACCCTGCAGACGTTCCACTGTGATAACCATGACTTGAAATCCATAATTTCAATTTCCGCAAACGAACTACACTGCAAGAAACCGAAACGAAAATTGTATGTTACTGATTCACAAAGCGCCAAAACTGACGGCCCAAATCAGTCCAAACATACGCTTCAAATAAAAAATCTTCCTCCAGCGCGGTCCAAAAGGATCAAATTGAAAACATGCGTGGAATCAAATTTTCGTGATCACTGCTGTTTGGAATGTATCCGTGATGCAAAATCAGTCCAGTGTTTATACAAAACTAACAACTGCAGCAATACAACTGTAGATCAACCCGAAATGATGCTGTTACACAGTCTCATACCTAAAAAGTTAAGAAAATCATTTGATCACAATTCAAGTTCACACATCAAAAACAGAAAAACAGGACTGCAAGAAATCCTCTCGATAAAAAATGTCTTGCCTGAGTTGCCTCCTCAAGGAACCGGACATGACGTGTCGACGGTTTTTTAACGATCCACCAGTGCTAGTGCATAGTGCGTGCTGTATTGGCATTTCCAGTTGCACCGGAAGTTACGGACACGGGTACCATAATGGCACAATCGCTTCCTAAGACCGGAAACTGCTGCCTAGCTTTTAAACAGTGAAAAGATTACATTTAAGTTTAAAAAACTTTAATAAGCTTAATAAGTTTCGTGTTTCATAAAACAAAGTTTTTGCTGTGAATTGTAATTCACTTTACGAGAAACAATATACAACGTGTATTCCAAAAAGCACACCACAGTGTGAAACGGATTCGACGATCACGATTCCATTCGAAACCGACTGGAGATTACACTCCTGGAATGGAACAGCTGATAGAGTGGTAATCGCCTCCTGAGGCGATCATGTGGATTGTGGATTTGTTCCTTCCGTAAAAATTTGCCTGTTGCAGTGTTTCAGACATCCAAAATCGGATGTCTTCCGCTTGATCCCATTTTGTCAGTAGTAGTCTTTTTTGGGTTTGAATTTGGATCACTTATTAAAGTTCCCAGCTGCATCAAATTGTATCTATTGATAAAAAGATCATGCTGAAGGGGATTTCAGCCTGCAGCCTATCGGCGCAGCGGAATTGCGCTTTGGAAAAATGCTGCTCCGTAAGTATTGGTGGTGCTCGTTTGGTGATTTCTGATTTCATCACTCTTTATATTAATATTTTAAATTTTAATCACCTTTAATTTTTCGTGTTTATATTTCTTATTGCGTACGAAAAAATGTTCACTGTTCTATACAGAAAGTCGCATCTCGTTGTGTCACGTCTCTCGCCGAGAAGAAGAAAGAAATCGCCAACGGACCCAGTCTGGGTGATTTTATCTCGGGCGAAGTGTCTTCGCAGCAGTACGCTGGCAAACTGAAACGGGATCCCTCCGAACCAGAACGGTGCTTCTCCGGTCTTGGCTGTATTCTCGTGAATTTTTTAATGCCTATTTTGTCTAACGCAGACTGAGGCTGCCGCCGTGGTTAAAGCGAGAAATTCCTGTGGGGAAGAATTTCAACCGATTAAAAGACTCACTCCGCGAACTGAATCTGCACACGGTGCGTAATCGTATTGGCCATCTTGTTGTTATGAGCAGTAATTAATGAATTTGAAAAAATTTTGTCCAGGTCTGCGAGGAAGCCCGATGTCCAAATATCGGGGAATGCTGGGGCGGAAAAGAGGGAACAGCGACGGCGACGATTATGGTATGTGCTGCGGATTTCTACGCAAAGCTGCTTCGTTCAATCCAGAGATGTAGCGCAGTGGAGTGGCAGTGCTTGCTCTACATGAGCACGTGTTACCGATAATGCCATACCAAACACTTGCGATTATTTAGATTCACGGTGACGAAGATTGATGGTTAATATTTTTTCCCCGATTTATATAGAATTTATTTTAATGCTTCTTGATTTGTGCTGTCCTTCTGTAAAGGTAAAGTCGAAATTCAGTCATCACAGCGTTACTGTATGTAAACTGAAGTGTCGATTGATAGTACGATATTGAAATTGAAATTCGTGTACAAGTATTGGATGTAATGTCAGCGTGATTTTCCTTTCGTAAGTAAGTATTTTCTTAAGTAAGTAATCGTATTGATATTTTTGCAGCTTTTGGGCGACACGTGTACGCGCGGATGCCGATTTTGTTCGGTGAAGACCGCCCGCAATCCCCCGCCTCCGGATCCCAATGAGCCCGTGAATACGGCTAAAGCCTTGTCTTCCTGGGGGCTGGATTATGTTGTACTGACAACGGTGGATCGTGACGGTAACTGCGGAAACCACGAAAACTATCACTATCAGGTTTCCGTTGTACCTACGATGTGTTTGTCTTCTATTTTGCCCAGATCTACCTGATGGTGGAGCCAGTCATTTGGCGCAGACTATTGCCGAGATCAAATCCAGGTAATATAGGTATAGTGCAAAAAATAATTGGACTGTGCAACTGCATTTCAATTAAGTTTCCGGGCGGAAAAAATACTGTGAAACATGTTTGCTGGTGGCGACAGAAAAGCAAAAAGTTCAGTTAAAATTAAAACTATAGAATTATTGTTTTCCTTGTTATCGTGATTTTCGCCACTGCTTACAGTTAGCCCAACGAACGCGGTTGCCCTGATACGCGCCAGTGCACTGCGATTTCTCGATGATGGCACTGTAGGTTTACGTGACCTGGTTTGCAAATCTGGCGTAGTAGGCGTAGTACGATTAATTTTAGAAGGGTGGGAAACAGCAAGACAGAATCACCCAACAGAATGCCTCAGTGGCCAGCTTTGCGTATAATGTTGCTTTATTTTAATGCAGGTGTATGTATAATGTAGTGAGGAATACTTTATATAATTTTTGTAGTATCTGGATCTTAAGCAGCCTGCAAGAGCTCTGGTATCCGTAATTATGGCACAAAAATCCTCGGGTTCCAACCTGGAATGGTTTTTTTAAGCAAAACTCTGTTTTCAGGAAACCAACGCTATTAGTAGAGTGCCTAACCGGCGACTTCCGGGGGGATCTGAAGGGTGTGGCCACGGTGGCGGTTTCCGGTCTGGAGGTGTATGCGCATAATGTGGAAACGGTGGAAGCATTGCAGAGGTACTCGTGCGGTGTGATTGTACTCGTATTATTGAGCAAGCGAGCAGTGCAAAATGTTTGCATGCTATAGGCACGTGCGGGATCCTAGAGCGGGATATCAGCAGTCGTTAGAGGTGTTGCGACATGCTAAACGCACCAAGCCGTCATTGATTACGAAAAGCTCGATTATGCTGGGACACGGCGAGACCGATGATCAAGTACAGCAAACCTTAAAAGGTAAAATTAGTCCAGTTTCACTGAAACTCGCCTTTATACGGTGCGAGTGTATTACTTTTATACTTTACGTTCATAACACTGTTCGATTAACTGCCTAGTTAACGGAGTATTTATTAAATTTCTTGCACGACAGTGTGACTGTGGTGTTGGTATCCATTGTCGCTGCGTTTTGTCCCGTTTTGTGTTGATTTTTTGGATTTGGGTAGATCTCCGGGATGCCAACGTGGACTGCGTCACATTAGGCCAATACATGCAACCCACCAAGCGACATCTGAAGGTTTGAAAAAATCTTGATGTTTCATCACTTTGGTTTTATTTATTTTTTACTCGGAATGGTGCGATTTTTAACGCAAATTTAGTTTTATCTCTGGACTTTGTTGCTCGTGCGACTCTTGCAGTAAAAGTGCCGCAGGCGCGCTTGTTGATTTGTTTTTACTAGTTTTAGATATGAAATCGTAGTGCAGTGCTGTAGGGTCTCGTTATAGAATTCCAAAAGTTGAAGCCACAGCAAATTTCCAGTGCAGTTAACGCTAATATACGTAGAGTACTAGTAGACAACTTGTTTTCCTTGAAAATTTCTGAATATTTTTCGAAAGAAAAAAGCTGTTTTTCTGTTTGAATAGTAAACGAAATATCGGTGTTCAAAGATGTGCATGGTTTAACAATGGTATGAAACTATGAGCTGCGTACGAATACAAACTGCGCTCCCATAGACTTCCGGATTACATCACAGTTACAGTATATTCGGCATTTCGTTGACTTTTTTTACCTTCTTCCTTAACAGAACTTAACCTGTTTTCTTCCTTCTTAGGTAGTGGAATACGTGACTCCCGAAAAGTTTGCCCATTGGGAGAAAGTTGGGAAAGAGATGGGATTCGCGTACGTGGCCAGCGGTCCGTTAGTGCGCTCCTCCTACAAAGCCGGGGAATTCTACATTGCAAATCTTCTGAAATCTCGCCAGCAAGACTCTGCTAGGGTGCACACAGAGATTTAGAAGGGTTTTGTTTATAAATATGCTCTTTACTCGCTCGGGAAAAGATACTGTGATTTATGCAAATTGTTATGAATATATGCTATATGTTAATGCAGTGTTTGGCAGTGAATGTGAAATCGCTTTTACTGTCTTTGAAAGAAGAACGAAAACTGAAAAAAAAACTGTTTCAGCTGAAGAACAGGCTGAAAAAGATACTTAATTCCGCGGTAAACGCTATTAGAGCTTTTATTTCGATGTTCTGGTCCAAGAAATTCAAAGTCGACTACGTGTGTTCGGTGTATTTCTACAATATGTCCCTTGTTTTGGTCTTTGAACTACATAGTAAAAAAAAAAACAAGTGTTTCGATATTTCTTCAATGAACTGAAAATTATGAAGTTCAATATGCCATTCCGATTTTCGCTGACAGCATTTTCAGAATAATTCTTGTTTTATCAGCGCCATCCTTTCAAGGCATTTATATTGTACATACAATCAGACCTTTTTAGGCAATGCAATACAAAGTAAAAGAACCATTATTTTAACAAAATCTTCACCACATATTTTCAGTTTTCTTGGAAGCCATGAACAAAATTAAAGATTTCAAAGGTCGTGATTGTAAAAGCCATTGCAATCGCCGCATACAGCACGCGCAACAACAAGACGCAATAAGAGAGTAACAATAAACAAACAAAGAAAATACCGATCAGATGCGATTTTTGGCAACAAAACCCTTTCCACTTCTCAACACACATTCCGCGTAGTCAGATATCTAACAACTGTGCAGATCCCCAGCTCGTCATTAACGCTAACGCAAGACTAATAGATTTCCATTTACAATGCACTTTTTACACTTCCTCCGCATTTTCCTCATCGTCAGAGTGGGGACGCTTCGTTCCACGGTGACCCTCATCTGCAATGAGAAAATTTTAGGCACGTTTACGGATTTGCAAAACCAAAAAAATCCACGTACGGGTACATTAAATTATTTAAAATTATCCGAAATACTTTCGATCTATTTTCTTTTTTTGTTTCCCTTTATTTGTTCTCATCATATTTACTTTTTAATCGAAATAAAACAATGTTTTGATTTTGTTACGCACAATAACTGAAATAATTTTTAACAATGCATACGATTACCCTTGATTCACGATGGAATTAGATTAAACCAGTATTTATTTTCATTTTCCAACGTTTGCAACTCCAGTTTTTACCATTTTGTTCTTCGTTTTCTATGCTGCTCTCCTCATTTTCTTCGTCATCATCGTCATCGTCGTCACCCTCATTCTCTTCATTTTCAATGTCGCCATCTTCATCGTCGTCGTCTTCTTCGTAGCTCTCATTAGGATGGCGTGGCGGTTGTACGAGGCCGTTGGCGTCCACCTGAAAAATTAAACAGAAGATTAATATCGTTTCAATGGAAATATTGATGTTATTAAAAAATTTTATTGATAGTTTAGTCCTCACTTCTGGTTCCTCCTCATCCTCGTCGCCTTGCTCATCTCCGTCCTCATCTGTTAACGAAAAACAACGGCTTCAATTAACAAAAATTATGATGCAGTTATAATTACAATGCCTAATTCTATTACATTCGCACGAACTCAAGGATGGCATTAACATGTAACAGCCACCAATCTACAATTACTCGCTTCTTGTCACATAAACCACACTCAAAAGATTCGCGTGTATATTCGTAGATGTATAGCCAGTGTATGTAAACCTTCGGCAAGGACCACAAATTTTTTATATAAAATACAACTGCAGCATTTTAGCTGTAGCAATAGTTTTCGCCGTGTGTGCTTACCGGAAGATTCTTCGTCTCCCTCATTTTCCTCATCATCATCATCGTCCTCATCCTGATTCTCCTGGTCATCATCGTCGAAGCTGTCGTGATCCGACCCCCCAATGGGATCTCCATTGGCGTCGTACTCTTCCTCTTCGTTCTCCTCTTCGGAGTCGAATACCTCTTTGCCGGAACGGTCAAACGAGTCGAGATCGGTGATCTGGGGAAGGGCTTGGAAGACTTTGTCACGGTAATTCTCAATGGCCACAATGTCACAGTTGAACATGTCAATGTGCCGCAGCTCCGCTAATTTCTTCTGCAATGACACCCGTTATACGCATTAAAAAGTATGCTCAAAAATACCATGATTCAATTTCAATCCACGATTATTTTCCAACTGCAGTACTAAATGTGGAAACAGCTGATTGATGACAGATCAGAGAGAGATAATATTCACTACTCTACGTCTTCGATTCCTATTGTTAACTTCTTCATTAATTTTACATACCGGCAACAGCCAACCAAGTACGTAGTTACAATAGCTGCAAGTTGCAACCGCTGGTACACATCTTGATCACGGTAGTTAAGACTTAAGACTAAGAGTTAAGACACTTTTAATGTTCTCGTGTGCGTTCGCACGGGGAGCAAATAAAAAAAATATTCTTCTGTACAATCTAGGCTTCAGGGGGTATAAACGGCGGTAACAAAGGTGCAGAAAACGAATTTCACCGCCTTAATGCACAAATACTTCCGTATCTCTTCTTACCAGAGGTTCCAGTGTTTCAATATCCTTTATCCGATTTCCACCCATATTCAGGCTCTCTAATTTGGGACAGGAATCCGAAATGTAGTTCAAACCGCCCGATAACCTATTATCGCTGATATCCAGCTGAAAAACCATCAAAACATGTCACATGGACTGCAAAAACATGTGCCATACAATCAGCTAGCCGATCGAAAGGACCAGCACACATATTAACTAAAATACATAAAAACGATGGAAAATTACCGCATAACAAAAAAACAGTTCCCAGAAGAGCATTGTTAATGCGTGGTACTCCAGATACGATACGTATTCGACCACTGTGTGCCAGTGTGTGGTCGAATACGTATCGTATCTGGAGCACGTTTTGTTAAAGGAGATCGGAAGAAATTGTTTATTAGAAAAGGAGAAAGTTGTTAATACAAGTATGTTTTTATTTCAATGTTTAAATTCGGAAATAATACGGGAATGCGATGTGCGTTTTGAGCACCTGAGTGAAAGGTACGTCTTGTCTTTCATTAATTGAGACCAATTTCTTATCTATAGATTTATAAATCGCTACGTCTTTATTCCAAGACAATTAAATCGCTACACGGTCGAACAGTGCAAATGACTGTGTACACAGTCATATTGCACTGTTCGACCGCCACTACTCTACCCTATGCGGCGGGCTATGCCGTACCACTTCCGTTCATTACACGTCACGGATACCGTTCCACATTATCAGATTCCGTATTTCGTGAGAGTGAAGTATCAAGCACAATTATGGTTTTGGCGTCAAAATTTTCAATATTTTCGTAAGTCTAATGGTAATGAATAAGTTACTGTTCCTAAAAATGTCCAGCCGCAATTATTAGCAGGTATTTTAATGCAATATAATTTTAACGAAAAATTTTCTGACAGCGGTTAGTTATCTGCATTTCGCTAAAAACAAATCGAATAAATACAAATTTTATTATTTTATTCAAGTAAACTCTGCACAGCCGATTTTTCAGGAAAACATTAATTTTGATATTGTGCATTTTTTAAATTTTTACCTTTCTCAGCTGGGGCAGCGCGGGGAAGCCCTTGAGGGTGGACAGTCCGACATTGATCATCCGCAGTGCCTCCAGATTAACGAACTGTCCCAGCTTCTCCGAGATACCATGTTCATGTGCTTCCAACCGTGAATTGTCCAATGTCAGCTCTTTGACCTGCAAATTTTATCGGTCAATTTTATTGATATTTGTTCCTAGATAATTCCATCTAGGAATAATTAGAACGGAGTAGGTATGTACAAAACTAGCATGCGCTAGTGCTACGTACACGGTACGCCACACACGAATGCCGTACTCAAAGCGGAAAGAAAAGCCACGAAAAATTCAAAAATGTTAGGCTGGAAGCCTGGAACTAATTTTTGTTTTACGCGCTCGACGCCGCTCGTACATCGATACTTATCAGAAAGTGTTTTTCTACCGCAAACATCGAGAATTCGGTTCCTCAGCTTTCGAGAATTTTTTGCATGTTAGGCTTTTTAGTTTTTACTATTATTATATTTTCATTACTTATTATAATTATTATACTTATTTTAGTTATTTTCTAGTGAAGATTTTAATATCCAAAAGCTGTTTTAATTGTAAATATTAAACGTTTATTTGCAATTAATTACGTGTTACGGACTAAATTATGTAGTATCTGAAATTTCGATATAATTAATTTTTCGTCCAGATGCTAAAACCACGCGTAGCAGAATGCGTAATTTTGAAGGCAATTAATTTTAAGTACGCGTACAAAACTATGCACTTCCATTGCAAAACGGCAGAAGCCAAAAGTAAAACTGTAAAAGCAATGGAAAAAAGCTCAATTTAGAATGCGAGTGCTTCTAAAATTGTAAACTGTTTTGAACTTCTGACCGATGTAATTTCGTATTTTGCCAACATTTTTGTTTATAAATTGTTAATTATGATATTTTTTATCTAATAAATACATTATAAATTTTTAGAAAGCCAACACAACCTGTCAGAGGAAGAATCAGGTATTTAGTCTGCAAACACATAATCTGCACATGATTTCTGAAGGCGAAAAACCATTAATTTACGGTGTGCTAATTTCGCACAAACCCTGCAGATACAGCATGCTGTCATGCGAGCCAGGACAGGTTCACGTGTGACATCTCTGAGCCATCGCTCTTTCATGTCCATAGACCACAGGCATGTCAATACTCGTACCTAACGGAAACATTACATAATCACGCGTACCTTTGTGGGATCGCGTCCCCGGCGCTCCAGCTCGATGCGTTTATCCATCGTGTACAGGATTCTTCCAGATTAACAGCCAAAAATGTCCGTGCAACAAAATTACAAACGCAAAAAACGCTGGCCAACTGGTAAAGTTACGTCAAAAAATGGCGTTAAGTAAACGGTTTTGTAAACCTCGGCAAGTTTCTGGTGCAGACCGGTGGCGGACGGTACGTGTGTTCGCGGTTCGGGCGTTGAGCTGCACTGCGGCGCTGTGGAAAAATGAGCCCGTTGAACGCGCATACTTAATGAGCAAGGGGGCGGGGTTTACCTATAACGCAAAGCGAAGCAGGCCGGGTGCATGAATTGGGACAGTGTTGGGCCTTCCATTACCACTCAATTTTCCATTTAAAACTGCACACTTCTGGAAATTGAAACGGAAACAGCGTGTTTTTTTTTCGAAATAGCGAATGCATTCAAAATTGCTTACTGTATTCCCAAAATAAATTGTAAAGGTTTCTTTACTGATAACTGAAGTAAATAAAAAGTTTCTTGACTGAAGGCTTGCTGTAATTGTGTGTAGTTGGTTTTTCTCTTTTCATCAGTTTTATACGAGTACGAGTAGACTTGGGCAATTGTGCTCACCTAGCTATTAAACGCTTCGATGCAAAGTAAAAATTATTGTACTGGTAAACTGAACAGCGGCTTAGTGTACAAAATTATCTGTACTAAAAAAATCTAAAAAATGTACAATGCTTCTTTACAATAAAAATATAGTATCCCAATACCAAAAATCAACATATCTGGGAAAGTTGAAAAGGTCGAAGATGGTACGTACTAGGTCCCTAGGTACTACGTAGTGTCACCGGCAAGTAGTGAGTAGTCCCGAATCGGGACTCCCGATTTACGCGGTGATAAAACCGGACGCACCTAATGCCATAATATTTTACGGTAAAGCATTCTGATGTTGTTATTGTTATATGTTGGTGAGGGGGGACTAGGTGTGCCCTGCGCCTAAAACGCCCAGTTCCACTTTGAAGACGCATTATAATGGTAAAGACCCTCGAGGATCCATTTCTTTATTTAGCCTCCACAAGACAAACCTCATAATATTTAAGCACCCATTTAATCGTTTTGCTTATCGATTTTAAGGAGAAAAGAAAATCTCCGCGTGCAGAACAATAAGAACCAATGACAATCCGGCAGATAAACCTTTACGTAAGAACTTACCGTACTTCTATCTGCTTCAAAACAAATTAAAAGTCACTATTAAATTTTTATCTATGAATTAAAAATTATTAACTGAGCATCAACTGTAACGGTGACAAACAGGTAACGCTAACAAATTGATAACCAACGGACAACGAACTGCAGCTCTCACGACAACCAAACAGGAAGTACAACGGTCACAACTGACTCACAAGCAAAACGGGAACTCAACAACTGCATATTAGAATATATTAAATACGAATACTATACCACTAACGGGCAGAAACACAACCAGAAAATCACACAAGCAGCGTGTCAAAAGTAATCCCATAACCGTTCTCCCAGAGTGAGAAATTCCACAGCAGAAGCTAAACATGTCGCCGTTTTAGTCGACCCTTTCCGGCGCCAAGAGGACCCGCATCGTGTTGGTGAATCCTGAGCCCTGGTGCCATCCGGTGACAATGACCACGGGATCACCGGCCTTGATGACGCCGCGCTTAAAGCCCACGCGCATACCGGCGTTAATGCGGGCATCCACATCCTGCGACCAGTCAGGGATGCGTTCGGCTGCAAAAAAAGACAAGATGTCCTCAAAAACTGCATAATTTACTTTCTCAAAAACCTTCTAATATTTTTTATTTATTTTTCTTTTCTCGAGAACTTTACATTATTTTTTAATTTATTTTTTTTCAAGATGATGATAGTGAGTAGAATTAGAGCTTACGTTTGTAATAAAGAGGGAAAATGCCCCGGTAGAGGTGGAGATAGCGTGCGACTCCTTCGAAGCGGCTAATGGCAATAATCGGGCATCGCGGTCGGTATGCGGCGATACAAGCAGCAGATCTGTAAACAACAGAATCGCCAATATTACAAGCAGGTTATCTGTCGAGAAAGTCACCCACAGAAAACTGCAAAGTTAAAAAAAAACAATGCCATACAGCGCACATACAGCACTTCGAAACAACCGGCGTAAGGGAAGTACTATTAATAAGGTTGTATAAACCATGATCAGCAACATTAATTTATGTAGGAAAAATACAGCTCTACGATATCACGCAATTTTGCAATGACGATAGCGGCTGCCCCAATTTAAAAATTTTAAACGAAGGAAATTCGTCGGCGATACAAGCGGCAGAGTGGTATAAAGCAATAAATCCGCCAGTATTACAAGCAGGCCTTTTGTCAACAGAATTATCATGAGAAAACAGCAACAAAGTTGAAAAAAACACTAATGTACTGATGATGTATTTAATAACGATCGCCAATCCAACATTTTAACCAAATTTTATATTGGTATTGGATCCTGCCATCACTCTACGATATCACACATTTGGCACTGCCGCATTTATGCAGTGACGATAGCGGCTATCCGAATTTAAAGTTTTCAAATGAAATCTTCAGATTCAAACTATGAAGGTAGGACTAGATACAGCTCAAACTGAACGCATCACAATTACATTCCAAATTTCATTAAACACTTTTTGCGAAATACCCGATTTCCAGTTCTTGCAACAGGGTTTACTGGACTTACGCTCCGGAAGTGGTGAGTGTAATGATAGCTGTCGCGCCGCAGCGCATGGATGCTTCAACAGCAGCCACGGCAGTTGTCACGGTTATAGATGCCGGCACCGCTAACGTGCGGCGAATCTCCTCAAAAAAGCGGGCATGGAAGATGGCCGATTCAGCTTCCAAGCTGATCTGAAGATATACACTACGTTAAGCGGAACAGGTGGACTGTATCTTACCACAACTGTACGTAACGTAGTCCAACGGCGATAGCGGGGAAATCGAGCGGTAATCCTTCACCATTACTTATAACGGTTAATAACGCTAACAGCTGAAGCCGTAGTCACTTACAGTACGATGCAAGTAATTTTTTTGTACGGCAGTATAAATTTACGCACATTGATGTCATAAAAATATCAGAACATGTCCATCTCTTTGAATTCAATAACAAATAAGCAAAATGCATTCATAAATTACAGGTATTCTTACTGAATGCATCATCTTGACAGCTTCAAGAGGATAGGCTCCCTTGGCGGTTTCACCCGACAGCATAACACAATCGGCTCCGTCCAACACAGCATTGGCTACATCGCTAACTTCGGCACGAGTCGGCCGGGGTTTGTCCACCATACTCTCCAACATCTACAATAATTTAGCATAAGATAGGACTTTCTTCATGAGTTCATGTGTCCTTAAAACTGTTCACTATACCCTGTTCAGCTATTTTCGGAATAAAACAATTGATAATTCAAACCTGAGTGGCGCAAATAATCGGCTTCCCGGCTTTGTTAGCTCGGCCAATCATCATTTTCTGAGCCAGAAAGACTTTTTCCGGTGGAATTTCGATACCCATGTCACCGCGCGCCACCATTAATCCATCACTTTCTTTTAAAATTTCATCCAAACTGCGCAAGAAATAACATTTGATATCCCATTTACAATTCCGCTGAAGCTGTTAAAATACTTATAAACGCACTTGACTAATCCTTGATGATTTTCGATCTTGGAGATAATTTTGATATGTTTGCCATCTTCGCCGAGAATTTTTCGGATCTCTCGAACACCTTCAGCATCACGGATAAACGATGCGAAAATCATATCCAACTAGAAAATCAAAGCGCTGTTAGTTAAAAACAGGCTAGTACTTACACCAGTATCAAAATTCCGAAAAGAACGAAAATATCCATATAAAAAAAAAATATATCCATATAAAAAAATTTATGTCTGCCGAAATACTGTACTCGAAAATCGAGTCTACACACAAATGTCTCGATTACAACAGAAACGATGCACAATATGCCCTCTTACAGTCTTACTGCACAAACACGGTGTATAAACCATTATAATGGTACGGACTACTAGTTCATAGTTGAGCCCACTTACTCCCTTCTCCACGGCAAATCGTATATCAAGCTTATCGCGCTCGGAAACAGCTGGCAAATCAACGGGTGTCCCAGGCAGATTGACCCCCTTGTGACTGCCTAATTTTCCGCCGTTTTCCGTGTGACAGTAAATGTTGTCGCCCTCTACGATAAAAAAACCGGCATAATTCCGGAATCTAGACAGTGTTGCGCCCATAGTGCTCTAATTTTTTCAGGCATATCATGAGATTAATACAGGTACTTCAAAATTTCAAAATAAAGAAATTTAAAGATCGCTAGGTCGGCAAAAGCGATATGTTAGCGAAGTTCTCTCGGTTCTTCAGTGAGGTTTTCTTCCACTTTACTACGATCCATTACGAGTAGCATCATAATTATCATCGCATCAGATACTTAGAAGAATAACCGCGCAAACTTACGTAAAAAGTATAGCACCATCTGAAATCTAAATAAGAAAAGCTTACCGATTTTCTCCACGGTCAGGCACAAGAGACCATCGTCAATGAAGATCTTGCTGCCGATTTTCAGAACTTTGACCAGATTTTTGTAGTCGACATAGATCAGCTCGCTGGTGCAGTTGGACTTTTGCGCATCATCCACCGTCAACACCACCTTCTGCCCGTTCTTCAACACCACGTCCTTATTGGCATCTCCAGCCAGAATTCCCGTACGGATTTCCGGACCTTTGGTATCCAACGCGATGGCCACCGAGGCATAATCAAGACTGCTGGTCTGGTGTGCTTCCCGCACTAGCTTGATTGATTCACCGTGGTACTAAAAATCATAAAACAGCTCAAAACAACGTTTCACAATGTTGAAACCATTCATTACAGCATTACAGCACTCATTACAAACTCCAGGCGATATGGGCAACTACAATGGAAAATAACTCAAAACTTAAATTTACTTCAACAAAACTTTTGGAAAACTGCATGAATAAACGAGTTGGTTAATTCATAATCGATAAGGTAATATCGATTTTTAAATTATTTTCCGATCTAGTTTTCATCAACTCAACCAACTGCAGAAACTGTACCAAAACAATTAAATGACAAACAACAATCAATGAGTCCAAATCGTACAAAATACAGCAAACCGGCGAAACAGCTAATAATTTCAACAGAAAAATTACCTCGTGGGTTCCGTGGGAGAAATTTAACCGAGCAATATTCATTCCGGCCGCAATCATCTCCCTCAAAATCTCCACACTGCGACATGCTGGTCCTGTAAACCATTTTACATAAATTAATTTCATTAAAACACAAGTTAAATCGGTTTGCTCCGATACAGTATTATGCAGCAACACAATATGAGAATAATTATGGACTCAGTAATTTGTTTCCTCTGGCTTATCGCTTATGTAACACGACAGCATGCGATAAGACGTAAATACCCTCATGCAGTGTGCTGTAAATCATAAATAAATGCAAAATGCAGATTTACATACCAAGGGTGCAGACGATGCCAGTCATGCGGTGTACCAAGGGCTTTTTGTCGATGTCCAGCAGGCAGAGATGTTCCAAATTGGATGTGATATCCGCTTCCCGTTGTCTGTCCATCTGTAAATGTCTATTAAAATAACGCATGCGCATTGTACATCATCCACACTTAATAATACTTAATAATTCCAAAACATAACGGAAAGAGAGAAAAGCAGAAAGTACTCGCATACATAATGTATGCGAGTACTTTCTGCTTTTCTCTCTTGATACATTACCTATGAGACAGTGTGTCTCCTTCAGCGTCTGAAGCTACGGGCGAGGAGGGGAAAGATGCGAAATGTACAACAAATGCTCGAGATAGACTGTTTTTCGCGCAAGTGTAGGAAAAACGGTCTAGGCACTTTTTCAGGGATCGGATAAGCATCGCATTAGCAATAAAAATCCTGCCGGAATGTGTTCAGGATTCGAGATAAAAAAATATATAAAACTCACAACTCGCAAGTCAAGGCTCAAAACTGCATAAGATACTGCTAGTCAGCTAGTGTTAACAGTTAAAAAACTGCAATGAAACTGAACAGTGTTTTCACTTACTTACAGCTAACTTACTTATCGCTAATATGTTAAGTTCTTAACTTAATAGCCAAAAAATAAATTGTAGTTCGCAATCACACTAACACAAAGGTAGCAAAGGAGTTCAAATGCTGAGAAGAAGTCTAATGAAAACCAACTGAAATATTGTTAAACAATCTGGATTCAAAATCCGAAGTCCTGAATTTCTGAAATTCGGCTGCACGTAGACCAATTTTTATTTACAAAATTGTTCAACAAACTAAGAACTCGTTTGCCGACACGAAAACAGAAAACTCGTCACAATTACGTATGGAATTCAGATTTTATCGTTATAACTTATAACTTTTACAGTTGTGAATTACGCGCCGCCTTGGTCTGCGATAAACTACAACTTGCTCGGTAAACAAAAACATCGCTAAAGCGCTGGCGAAAACTGCAACACGACAGCTAAAGAACTTTGACTGCAAACGTACCTTTGATTTCCAGAAATACAAAAAAAAATTACAGGAGTCCAGATGAAACTCGAACGCAGGGAAGAAGAAGACCTTAGGTTTTCAGATGATGAATTTCAAATGCCAGAACCATCACCTCCCTCACAGTTCTGGAATGCACGGGCAGACACTGCACGACTCCCAAAATAAATCCCCACTGTTTACTAGCAGTTTGAGCAACTTATTACGGCTGGGTAACGGGTCCGGTTTGAGATCAACTGAGACCCAGCCGATGAATCGCATAGCTTCATTGCGCTATGTACTGCTGTAACTGTTAACAACGTCGGTCGGTCGGATGTTTTACCGGGTTTGTGTTTGTCACCCAGCACTTTTAATCAGCTGTCTCGCGCTGTGCAGCATCACGAGCTATTCTCCAAGGGATGCTGATTTCGATTTACCTTGGTTAGATGGCTTATTGGCTAAATATTGATCATGAACGAAGTTTTTTTTTGTGGTTTAAGTACAAATAAATGTGATCGAAAAACGTTAGCTGCACTAAATGATAACGCAAGGCTGCACTGGCACAGTAAGTAATGAAGATACACTCCCACTTCCGGTTGGGGCTCTGGGAGGAATGAAGGTTCGCCTCGATACGCCATGGAATTAATTACTTAAAGATTTGTAACTTGTTTTTTGCAAATCACGACGATAAAGTTTTCCATGCGTATAATCCGGTTTGATTTTCTTCGAAACTGACACCATTATCACGCTACACTGAAGTTTACCGCTGCAGGAATGCCTGTTCTTAATACAACTGAAAGCTACGAATGTAATTAGGGCTGGCTATACGTCCTGCGTAAACCGTATCGAATCCAGCTTTCTTGTGGAGCGAGCCACGACGACGATGGATAATGGAGGCAGTCTGCCTCTGCTGAATCTGGATTTTTCGCAAAAATTCAGCCCGGAGTCGGATCTGGGACTGTTATTACGGACGACCAACTTTGCCGCCATCAAGCATAAGAACCAGCGGCGCAAGGATCCGGAGAAGACGCCGTATATCAATCATCCCGTTGGGGTGGCTCATATTCTGGCTGCGGAAGGTGGTGTGACGGATATCACGGTTCTTCAGGTGAGCTGTCGCGATTTGACGCATATCACGAAAAATTAGTGGACTGTTGGGCTTCTCGCGGTTACATATCTGATGACTGTCTTCATAATAATTTTGAAATAGTGCGGTTGGTTTCTCCTTTATCGTTTGTTAAACGCGTATAATCTTCGAGGTACGAGCCAAGCAGGCCCAACTTTTCAGAATTAATTTTTGACTATTAATACGAGTAGTTTGGCTCCGAGGAAATACGCTAAATTAAGTTTTGTCGACTTTTACGATTGAAAATTTTAGTCCATGCTGTAGTGATAAATAGATAAATATAAAATCTGTAGATTGTTTCGAATTTCGGTATCCCTTTGGGGCCTTTCCGCTATAATTTGCTACCCGAAAATTACTCGCCGAGGGCCTTGAAACTACGAAAGATCTTAATTTGCGAGTTAAATTTTGATATTTTGTGCGTTTGAACAGGCGGCTGTGCTGCACGATACAGTGGAGGATACTGACACCACGCTGGATGAAATCGAACAACATTTTGGTGCCCATGTCCGAAGCATTGTCGCCGAGGTGGGTTTTGAATTTCCAAATTATTTTGTAAATAGAGAATTATAAAAAGTGAAGTCAGATGTACAATTTTTACAGATTGGTGCCTGTTGGCTGTTATCACAGGCTGATTATTGTGTAGTTCATGACAGAACTGATGTTTCTGGGTGCAGCAGGGTATTTCACGTCATTTCCGGTCGAGTGACTGTCTTATATTGTAACATTTTAAGTGTTTGTTTTAAATCGCTTCTTAAGTTATAAAGCACGTTTCGTCTTTCGATAAGATTATGGTCCTGGACAGTATCACAGTGTTAATTACCCGCATTGTACGTATACTGTTATTAATTAATCGTATTTCGTTTGTATATTAAGAATTTCATCAGTAAATTACAAATAAAGCACATAGAAGCATTTTTCAACTTTGAAGGGATGTGTTTGCATTTAGTGTAGAAATATCGTTGGACATTGCTATTCAAGTCAAGCGCTTTATGCAGTTGTGGTTTGTTCTTGGGTTTTACCAGGTTTTGCGTTGCATATCGTATATTGTATACAATGCTACTCTGTTGTATGTTAGCCACTCTTGAACTATCGAAATTGCTGGTGTATCGGTATACGCAATCCATGTAGTGAATAATGTACTTTGTTGTGTTGTTCTCTGTTTGCAAATACTTCGTATACAGATTTAACATCTGTACTGAATTCATTTCGTATTATTAGGTAACCGACAATAAAGCGCTGGCTCCTGCTGACCGGAAGCGGCAGCAGATCGAGAAAGCACCACATGTGTCATTCCAGGCCAAGCTGGTGAAATTAGCCGACAAATTGTATAATCTCCGGGATCTGTACCGCACCCGACCGGAAGGATGGCCTGAAGAGCGCGCGCAGCAGTATTTCGTTTGGGCCGGAAGGGTCATCGAGGGTCTGCTGGGCACTAATCAGCCCATTGAAGACAAACTTCGTGTGCTTCTTGCCGAAAAAGGTGTTCTTCTGCCCACAGAACGACCTTCCGCCTGACCGGCTACTGTGTGACTTTCACCTAGATCTTTTAGTTGACATTTTCGGTGTGTCTTTCGTTTTTGTTGCATTTTGCTGATTGAGAATATATTCTGCTGAATATCTATAGTTCTATTTGCAGCGTGATCTGCGTAACTACAGTTCGCGGGTGCGTTCGTTTTGGCGAGAGGTGTGTTAATATGCAGTATATTTATGGCGTAAACTTAACAGTTATAAATTATTTATAATATTGTGGCGTGAAAGGATGCAGCAGAGGCAGTTACTACTTATTGTAATCGGAAGATTATTTTGTACCTAGGAAAAAAGATTCAGTGTATAGCACACACTGTGGTACAGTTATACACAGTACTTCTAGTGCAATCGGTATATTTTTATTAAATCAGCGTATGATTGTCATAATTATCGATAATTATAATTATTTCCAGGAGCTCAAAAGTCACTGGTACATACTCAAAAATTTTATTACAAAAACATACCAATTGAGAGTAAATAGGAACTAGATTACCAGATACCCAACCGGTAACCATAAGGCATTTAATACTTACTGCTATCAAGCGGAGACCGTTCTGGGAACTGTCCCTTTTATGTTAATTGGATGGGATTCTGCATTCAAAGGTTGCTATGTGGGTGTAAGAATAAGTACTGAATAAACTATACTTGCTATATCTTTGGAGCATAATTTAATTTTGCCCCACAGTACTTACTCCGTACTCATATGATCATATATATCTAAAAATAATGTAAGTAGTACACCATATTTTATCTCATGAGTAATCATAAATACAAAGTAGTAGTTAGACCTCCTTTTTAAAGTTGTACTCTGCATCAGCCATCGATCAGATCTAAATTAATCTGATCAGTTAGCAAATTAACGTACGCGTGCGTAAGAACTTTGTTATAACGGACAGTCGCAGGATACTTACCTTATCGGCTGAAGCCATTAGCTAACCATAATTATGTAAGGTTTGTAATTTCGGAATGCAAGAGCTCTTTTTGACGGTTTTTAAGTGACCGCTCGGCAGAGTATCTCTTGTCAAACAGTTTAAAAGCCAGAACGTTATAAGATTAATGGAATCATGCGAGCTTATGCGGTGTTAAGTGTAATATGGCTCGTTTGCTTCGTTCAAGGACATCCTCATCCCAGTTGTACATTGCGCTCCGATAACTGGTTATGGTGCACCGACAGCAATCTGGACTTCCCGAACACGTTCGACGTCAATCGGATCGATAATCGCGTTAAAAACTTGGTGTTATACTGTCCCAATGCCCACACAAAAATTTACTGTAATGTAATTCGAAAAAATTTTCAACCTTTCCCTCGTGGAGACTCTTTGAAACTACTGTGGATGAACGGATTTCGAGCCGACAATGAAAGACGGATCCCGCTCAATAAGGTCTTGAAACATGTCCGTGCTCATATCGAACATCTTTCAGTCCAGCATTCCATGATCGGTTACCTTGATGCCGAGTATTTTCTGGATTTTTCGTCATTGGAGATTTTGAACTTAAAACACAACGATATCTATGACATTGCTGTCGATACTTTCCAGTCCCTGCAGATGGACCAAGTGACCGTTATAAACCATGACCAAGAATCATGGCAAACACGGCTCAGTAATATCGAGCTTGATGGAAACGCTTTACAACAACTGGATTGGAGCATTTTCTATCCTGTGCAATCTAGTTTGGTAAGTGACGATAAAAGTTAGGCTGCTGGCAAACACTGTCATTTTATCAATAAAAAAAATACTTAAGGTTCTTGTCAAATCTGACTTGGTACAACGATGTTATAGCAATCAATTAACCTCAGTGAACAGAAGCCAAAACTCCAGCGTCTTCACATGAGCGGTGTTGACTTTATGGTGCGACTCAGAAGTGTCTACATAAGGGAAACTAATTTAACCACAATCCCATCGAAGATTCTGCGCTCTATCAACACAGGATTAAGTACTTATTTGTACTTTGATAACAACTACTTGATGTGCACTAAAGCCGACTGTTCCTGCTGTGAAATGGAGCCGTTCATGCGTTGGGCGGCCAATGTCACGCAGACAAATCCGCTCCTCATGGTATGTGTTACCTGTGGAGAGGAAACACACACCAGCTTTTCTTTGGGAAATATCTGGAGATTATACGAAACATGTAAGTCGGAGTTGATAGTAATACACGTACCTATTCGTAAGTTTAATTAGTACCGCTAAATTAGTTGGATGATATTCGACCACCGACATAAGTTTTTCACTGGTAGGTCCTAAGTGTTCCGAAGCAGAGGTCATTAATATAAACTGCCGCGCTAGCATTGTGAGCATCTCCGAGTCTAACCTGGATACGACGGATGCAACCGTTGCCGTCTTCACTAGCGACGGAACTCTGCGTTGCAGTATGGTTCTTCATGATTTCTATCACAATCTTCTAGAACTGACCAATACTACTGCGCCCAGTACCACGGGGGACGCCGCTGATGCTATTGAATTCAGTTGTCGCGACAATATAGCGACGGTTCGGGGACCGGATCCCAACATTCGTAATCCCAAAAAAATTATGGTACAAGCGGATATCAGCCCGCTCTGTCACTCTGTGTTTACAAGGTTTTTAGTGTTTGCCGAGGAAACACGGTTGCACGATTCTGACCAGACGACACCTGCACTGCCATCGACACAACCTGTCGTTTCGATTGATCAGTGGATTGACCGTTTCCTAGTTTGCTCACTTGGGGACAATCCGGATTTTGTAGCCACATGCAGGACTGGCAATGTGACATTTTCTCATTCGGATCTACAAGCTGTCAAATCGTCAGTTATACGGATCGACAGCGATATCACCACGCCCTGTCGAGCATTTGTCGTCAAAATCCACGAATATCTGTTGTCGACTGCCTACGCACAAGTGTCAACCGCGGATTCGTCGTTGGATGCTGTTTTAGCCGTCTGTCAGAAAGGACAAATCGTGATTTCCGACGGCAGTCCCAGACATTCGGCCAAGAAAAACTTGACCTTCTACTCTGCGCCGAATAAATTGTGCCAAAAACTTTATCGGGGTTTTTTGACATATCTTTACGGTTTTAGCCAGCCACGGAAAGAAACTCCGAACACCGCATTTCCGCATGACTTGTTACCAAATAGTTAACAGTCAATAGCAAACAAATGTATACGTAATTCATTCGCGACTTGGTTTATCATTAATTCCGTTGGATACCGTAGGTATGCGCGCTACACTCTATAATATCTATATGCAGTACGAAATATGCGTGTTGACTAATAATCTTAGATTTATTGCCGGGACTTGCACAAATTGGAGCGTTATGGCTTACATAACATACGAGTAACGCATGAACACATTCCGTGTAAACGCACCAATCTTACGGTTAGGGTAGGCCGGTATGGTAACCGAAATAATACTTACCAACATAACGGACTAAAGTATATTAGTACAATGCGCACCTAAAAGCCAAAGCCTTCGTAATAATAACCATCGGATCCACAACAAGGTCTTCGTGTCATCAAAATTGGCATTAATTGCCTTTAATTGCAACAAATTCCGTGCGCGCATCACAATTTCACAGTACAAGCCTTCATGTCAAAATCTGCATGTCTGAAAATTTCATACGGCTTGCGTCAACACAGTCCGGATAAACTGTGAAAGTGTCGTTCCTTACGTACAGGCATTCATCTGAAAATCCCAAAAATATGATCAGTTGGCGAATGTTATTATGAATTTTAAAACCAGTAAACGTTATAGCGTGAACAAATTTAAAGGTATCCCAAAAAAGCAAAAACTACGCACTGGCTGCAGTTTGCTGGCAAATAAAATGTCGGCGGGCTGCTTCACATGGCAGTCCGTTGTCCATGGCATTAGTGTTGCCGACCACATCCATCACAGCGCACCGATTATCTAATTAGGAGCATCAGCATATAATCATATAATACTCATCCCGATCCTTAGGGAAACGGTCGTTTTTGTAATTTTATTACTATATATAGTAGTTACGGGTCATAGTTATTCAGGCCATCAATAAGGAAATAAAGAGGTTTAATAGTTTAACGAACGCAGCTATGCAGGACATACAGCTATCTGTACACGCAAGATTTCACACAAACTTGGAACTTTGTAAATGTTTTTCCTCACCATGATCATTGAGCAACAACTCGCGCGACGAATGTGACGCTGCCGTCCACACATCATCCACCCTGGCACGGCGCATCTGATCGAGTACAAACCCCCAAATAGGCAGGGTCAGTTCGCTCAGTACCAATGGGATGCCCAGCATCCGCTCGCATGCTTTCCTGGATGTTAATCCATCAGCGATTCTACAATTCAGAGCTTTATTCCCCGGCACGATAACAACCTTTCTTTACCCATGGAGTAACATAATATTACCAATGCGTACTTTCGCGTGGGATCGGAAAACGAAAAATAATAACACTGTCCATCGATACCAGAAATCCAGTTCTCCGGGCATTTACGGTTGACTGCAAATAAAAGCGCTGCCATACTTTGCGATGGCTTTATCTGGCTATCTGTAGTTCTTTAAAAATCAGTCTTGTACTGTTGACAGTGAAATTATGTATGCTGCATTGATTCTTACTGTATCTGATCAGTGGCAGGCATTTGTACGCTTTGTTGATTCGTCGGATATCTGTTTCGCTTAGACCATTTTCTTGACCGACGACATCCAGACGAGACACAGTAGAGAAAGCTGCACTGGCATTGACGGATATACTCGTGTACTCCGCCGGCTCAAACTGCATCACCGAATTAAAATCGTATCCTTCGTCCAGTAAATTAATCCTCCATTGGTCCGGCATGGAGAACAAACTCCAGTCTGCATATAAAGAGCAAGTAATTTCAAAACATTATCTCCCATTAATAATGCCTGTCGCTGTCAGTGCTCGTTGTACATTAATAAAAAGTTCGGTTGGTTTTGGTATACTGCTGTACATGTTTCAGTAGGAGTATGTCACATGCTGCATAACTTGCGAAATTTTGAACGACATTTATTGTAATTTATGCACTGAAATTGAAATCAATACGGCCCTGTTGAATAATAATTATCTGTCTGCGCTAAAGATATCAGGTGCGGTTAGGTATTTGCATAAATTAATGTTACCAAACAAGCGTAATTACATTTGACAGCAATGTTGGACTTGTTAACGCTGACGAATAAATCTCGATCTGGTCGCTGCATTTCATAATAAAATCCCACTGTGCGCATTAAATCACGTAAAATCACCCGAATCCGACTGCTGTCGAAATCTGCAATGAAATTAAATACGATAATTAGTCTATATATTTTAAGTGCATAAGCGTATGTACCGATACGTGCGTATGCGTATTTGTATACTTTTCCCTGAAGGTTTAGATTTTTAATACGATTTAGTAATATGCGTTAAGAAACAGAAAGCAAACATACCCTTTTCGGTGAAGGTTATAGTTTGCCGGCCTCCACGACGGCCCAAAACGGGAAGCAAGGTCTTCCAACTGCCCAACTGTATGTGTACATAATCCTGCTCTTCGTGCTTACGTGCGACGAAACGGAGACAAGTTTTTGCATGGAATTTGTTGAATAAACTTATAAGGTGACTTCTTTTGCTTTCATCTAAAATTACAGAAAAAAAAAACATTTCAGCCTGATTGAATGGCCTCAACAATCCTTCGCCGCACGTTTAGCTTTAAAAACAGAGTTATTAAGAATATGTATTACAAGTCAAATATGTATCTGGAATGACTATTTGCGTTCATATGCTTTAACAATACGTACCTAAGCTGTCATCAAACTGATAAAAGATTTTCCGTTTGCTCCACAGGGCATCCATATCCGTTGTCACGTTACATTTTACTGTTTTACAAAGAATAACCATCAGCAGATAATAGTATTTTAACCAGTACATGGCTTGCAAACTGACTTAATGGCATATTTAGGTGAAAACATTTTTTCTAAACGACCAACGAGAAAGTGATAATTAACGGACATTTGTTAGTAAATTGTCGTGAACGGCTTTCTTTCAGCAGCCGAAGCTCTGCCAAATGAAGACTGCCGATCGTCCGAGTTCAACGTACAGCCCGTGTGCGGAGTGCTCAGACACGTAACTGATTGGTTCGATACATGGAGCTTTGTGGTCGTACGCTTATTGTACGCTGGTCGATTGTCTCCATCGATCGTAGCGCGCACTCATTATTCTTGCTTTAATCAGGCACATCAGACTACTCTGTGAACATTAATAATATTATTATCAGCGAAAGACTGTAAGTGTTGCCGGTGAAAGTCAGTAGGCTTGCTGAAGGTTATATTACTTGACGGCTAGTCGGCTACAACTGCATAATGCATATACGGAAAAACAGCGGAATTTGTTGTTCAAAATCTTTGAAAGCACAAGTTGCGAAAGCTGAATTTGAAGTCCAGCTTGTAAGTCAAATCGAACTATTTATGCCAAAATGATACATGCAATAAAGAGCGATGACAACCAACAATCAGTACACGTGACGATAGCGTTGGTACATTGTTTACTCGCACCGGAAGTTATGTGCCGGTCCGGCCAAAACAAAAACCAGTCGTCTATTCTATATATTCGTATTAGCGCTTTCATGCTTCACTTTACTGAAGACTCTCTAGTTAATTGAGCATTCGCAATATCAGTAGCTTGTTAAAATTACGGCAAAATCAGGTTGACTAAGGTCATCGCCGAGGTGGGTAGTGTTGTCTCCGCAGGTCATTTCGATGTGGCAATCGTCGTCAGCTAAACAGGAGGCAAAGGACTGCTTCCCTTTGGGGACTTCCAGACGCTGGGTAAAGCACCAGGGGTCACCGCCCTTCATGCGTTCCCAGTCGGCATAGGCCCAGCACCAACCGTGGTAGCAGCCACATTTCTTATGGGTCATGCCGCTTCGGTCTCGCTCAAGGCAGCTGTTAATTTTACAAAAGTTTTTGCATATTAGCTGTGGAGTTACTGCATGTGTACTGTCACTGAGGAAAAGAAACCTTCAAAGCATACATACAGAGTAGGTAGACATTCAAATATCTGTAATTAATTACAGGATATGTGGCTTATAAGCCACATATGCTGTATACGTAAGTTACTTGGCAAATACTTGCTACTGTAAAGGAGTTATAATAGGATAATAAAAGATAACAACAGTATCTACACCCTTTTTACAGTATCTGTAAGTAAAAAATACAAGCAGCTGTCCCGTTTCTAGTGCTGAATATGAATGACCTTTAAATTGTGAATAAAATTACAAAATTATAATCATATTGCTACAGTAGCCTTCGGTAAATGTATAGCAGACGTGCTAACAAACTTAATTATTTTTTACCGAGCAGCACGGTAAGGGCGAGGAAGAACCACAATTTGGCCATGGCAGATGTTTAGGCTTTAATTAGGATAAAATAAGCAACGGCGGAAATAGGTTATAAGCGGTCAGAGCGTAGAAACTGCGAATAAACAATCTGTTAACACTACATACCGGTGCAAATATGCCTGGAATGTGATAATAAGATATGATATCGCGGGTCCATACTTTTTGTACTGAGGAATTATGTGGAGTTACGAGTTTTTCACGGTGAGATAGAGATCAAGTATGAACTGCTCCAATATCTCTGGTTCAATCTAGTATAAAGTACCTGCAACGGGAACTCGGCTTTGCCTACCTTTCGCGCTGATTTCGCATGCGATAACCATAAGATAACGTAACATTACTACTGGCCAGCTAGGTAAACTAACCATTATGCAGGAATCGAACTGAAATTAAGCGGCACTTCGTCTGTTTATTTGTTAACAGTTTATGTGGTTTGACTTTCATTGTACTTAAACAAATTGTTGTTAATGTGACTGCAGCATGGCGAAAGTGGCTGACACGTCTCACTACCGTTAATTACACGCGTATATTTTGCAGATTTCAATGGTATACTGTAGCGTCGTTTTGGGACAGGGTCGCCTTGTATTTGGGCGGAAGACAACAGATAGCAAGAACGGCAACTTCAGTCATTCTTTATCGAGATCAAAATAAGTAGTTATAAATAATACATTAGTTACATTTAAGACGTATAGGCGCAGAAGGGCCAAGTAGTACAAGAGCGAAACAAAAGGCAAAGAAGCACGAGAGAAAGAGTACAGTAGCGTTTGAGAAATCCGCTCGCGCGATCTCTGTGATCAGCATCCTGCATAGATCCAGATTTATCCAGTACAGTCCATCAGGTGGTCACATGGTACTTTGCAAGTTTTTTTTGCAATGTTTTATCCTACACACTCATTCAATTATAATTCGCTAGTTAAATAACCTACAATCTGTGTCTTATATGTGTGATTCTATTCTTTCGAGATCTCGGGTGCACCGCCACCGTGCGCTGCACGCGAGCTGGTGGACTTGCATGGTCCGAAATATTGGCAAGCCTGAAAAGTATGGCAATCAGCTGGCTGGATGCAGTTATAACGAATTGGCTTTTGGATAAGAATTAACCAGACCATCCAAAAAATTTTTTCCGATGCTGCGCAATGCTTGCAATAGGTATATCGTAGCTGGGCATGCCATAAAAATGAAATTTTATCGATCTACCGGTGACTTTCCTAACATACAATGTTGTTGCGCGAGTATATAGCGCAAGCGTGTTTTGTGGGTGCGATGCAATCTTTATTTGGCGGTATACAAAACTCACACGATTTTTCTATCATAATAAAGATGTACATAATCCACAGCCTCAACCGACAACAGAAACAGACGTTCTAATTATACAGAACATCTCATCTAAATTAGCCGATGCTGGTGCTGTTCCCATGACGGAGGCCGCATTCCCGCGTTGGATTTTTGTGGGTTATGTGCGGTACGCATGGTGAATCACATGCTTATGTATCATCATACCGGGCGTGATAAAATGGATACATCTACGGATGCGGTTGGATGCACAATAGCATGTTGTGGTTAGCAAGTCAGAGGTTGTGTGTGGCTTGAATGGTAACAAGCAAATGATTGAGCGTGAAGAAAGGCATGAATCATTTGTGTAACCAATAGTGTCTCTTCCTTTGTTGCAGTGTTATATCTCTCGTAACATGTGTTAAGTGCCTGGCTAAAAATGTAGTGTGTGATGAAGTTGTGGAATTGATTTAGTATTTAGTACATCACCAGCCATCCTCGGATCAACTTCCCTTGGAATATCTGCCTTTGTAGCATTGCATGCATTCTGTTAGCATTCGAGTTGTTTGTGTCTGCTAATCTGAATAAAAGGTCATCGGGTCGGATCAGCCGCGGTTGTTGAATGTTGTAGTTAGCGGTAGCATAAAGGTCATATCCACCGAGTTCATCAGCACCTTTAGTTACGTGACAATGTGCTATATAAAATTATAATACTAAATGTACGAACTACATAATTGATGGCATTTGACTTTTATCTCCTCTCTCTACCATTATTTCGCCAATACAGCTATCATTATGAATCGATTTTGCTATAATTAATAACCATATCGCGTTAATTTCTAGCTACGAAAAAAACTAAAAACGAAACAATGAACCACAGGAACACGAGAGCTGCACAGGAGTCCAATTAAGTATTGTACACAGATGGACAGTAACGTAAAAAGCCAGCAAAGATACTATGTCACATATAATAATTATTCGAATAGATTAACAATGTAAAACCATCGGTTATCAATGTAAACGGATTTACAATCAACAAAAGTCGCTGTTTCCTGGGCCACCATCGTGGCATTGTCCGCAGCTGGAAACCCATTCCAAGTCATGGCCGCCCTTACATTTAAACAGCATGTTGAGCTCGTGGTCTTTGATGTTGTAGCCTACAGTTAAAATCATGATAAAGTTAAATTTACAAGGTGTAAGTATTATGAACTTCAAGTGTACAGATAGATAAAGGCTGGTAAAGCTGATAATCCAAAACCTCGTTAGTGTTCACCTAACCATAAAATGATAGGGAGCCTGGGAGGCCATTCGGTGGAATAAATATTCTGGCGTGATTTGTTATAGAAATTCCAGCAACTATGCAGCTCAAGCCGAAAGAAAAAACAGACCACTGTTACGGTATAAGAGAATAAACATACCTTTCTGAGAGCGTAAAACATGTCCGCAGTACATAATATCCGATGTACAGCTTTCCGCTTCGCTAAGGATTACCACTGATGCCAGGATAAAAAACGTAGTGAGAATATGCATTTCCCTGAGGGGAGCAAGAGATAAAATACTGCTCAAAAAACAACAAGCAAAAAAACTTGACCTTTAGCTTTGACGCTTGACCAAGATTATAGAAAACTGATAATGAAAAATTTACTGACGTAGTACGTCCTGCAGTACGTACAGCTTTATATCGTTTGCGGGAACAGGAAATCGCCCAATTCGTCGTACGAAGCGTGATGAAAAGCCCTGATAGTCCCATAAAGCTCATTGGAGACTGAATAATTAATTACTCTATACTACAGGCATACTGATTCAGTGCATTTTCATCCGGGTTGCTTGTAAGCGTTTTTGTTTAATCTTTAATGTACGACGGATTCGCTGGTTGCATTTGCCAAAAAGGCACTTTCACGACGAAGAACATCATTGTACTGCAAAAGTTACAATAATGAATTAATACTTCTTAGTACGGTTTTATGCGCAAGTTGATAGAAATGCAGTTAAAGAATATAAATGGTTAGAAATTATGAAAGGCAAAAATAAAAAAAGGATGAAATGTTTACTGAAATTGCATGGTGATAGAGTTAATCAGTTGAAAGATATACTTATTGAGCGTGCTTATACGAAGATGGCATGAATCTTTTTCTTTAATAAATTTGTTTTATCTGATAAATTTTTTCCATTGTTAACAGTAGTTTGAAGTTTATGGGCACTGTTTGAAGTACGCTTAATGTGCCTTACCGCCGCCTTTAAAGTCTTAAAGTCCAGATACAAGTGTCCTACTAATTTTACGTGTGCAGTATACAACTGTAAAAGAACTATTTCACTGGTTTAACAGAAACAGTTTTGCTGTTTAAAATTAGGTTTACAATAGCCTACAGCAAATATCTATACGATGAAATTACTCACAATTAAAGCGAACCGGTCGTGCCGCAATTATCGGCTTACTACAACTTGTGCAGCTCCACAAGATTCGTAATTTAAACCGTAACTTACGCAACTTAACCGGAACTATATGAATTCTGAAGAATTCTATACCTTCTGCTGGCAAATGCGTCTAATCTTTCAAGTTACTCGTAGCTTAGGAAGCCGGACAGCGTGACACATGTAACAAGCGACGCGCAAAGCAGCTATTCAAAATTTCTTGTATATACGTATAAAGCCTCGTCAACATGCGCTTCAAACAGAATCATCGTTCATCAGTAAAATCCAGGACTGCGGCTTGTGTCTCTTCTGGCTTGACCTTTAGGATTCTGGTGAGCATTCAGGTAAGCAGCGCGTTATTAACGCAGGGTACTGCAGTTATTTGTGTAATAGCGTTATTTAGAGATATCACTGCTGTTTATATTGTTTTCGCTTTTCTAAATTCGTTCAATTTTGCAGTAAAGAAGCACTTGCAAGAACATGGCAACCCTAGCGCGATGGTTCCTTTTTGCGTTGGTCGTCATAACGTGGAGCTGTGTAGTAGTTAACGCCATGTGTCCGAAGCATTATCCTTGGAATGGATGTAACTGCCAATGCGGCGGAGAAATGAACGGGCATTGTCACTGCGCTTGGGATCGTAAACTACAGAATGTGTATTGTCGGGATGGAGGAAATCACTGGATCTGCTTTCCTTGGTCGGGCGGCGGATGTCCGTGGGAGAAATGTTACAGCTAAACTGCCAAAGTTCTACTACAGTTTTTCCCCAGTATTACTTACATTTTACTCTCTTTAATTTTAGTATGGGTGTTCGATAAAGTTTCCATTAAAACTCGCTGCAGTAGTCCAAGTATAGTCTATGCGTGTGATGCCTTTGCAAACGCAACGATTTTGAAGTAAAGCGTATTTATCTGAAATAAAGAGCGTTGGTCATACTGCATTCCCGCCACAGTATGAGTAAAAGTGCAGCTGATGATACTGCGTAGATAAACGGTACCTATGCACGGTGGAGATGCGCTTGCAGCATGGCGAAACATTTACTGTAGACGCTGGTCATGTCAGTTACCAAAATCGATGTCTGGAACCTTTACTTCCGGCAGCAAAACGTTCTGTGAGGCATAAACAAGGATAATGACCTGCCAAGCAAATATACGACTACGCAATATTGTCTTGTCGTAGCCCTTATATTCTATGGGTGCGCCATGCCAATCGATCAAGTATACTGTTTTTTTGTTCGCGCCACTCCAGGAAATCTGAAAGCACCTACAGTATATTGTTGTGGATTGCTCTAAGTTAGCTTTTACTGCGCCTTTACTGATACACAAAATTATCGTGCGTCAACATATGCCGTACGCGATGACTAAAGAATTTAGGCAGATGTATTTAGCTTTGTTCACCTTGAGTCTGCAATATCAATGTGGATGTACCTATATAGTATAAAGATTTCAGCAACCCGTAATAAAATAGAATTAAAATATTTCTTAATTTACATGCCTTTGCTTGCTTTTCACATTTTCATCCATTAAAATACGTGTACTATATGAGTTAGTCCAGATTTACTGAGTTTAGCATACTCGTACTTGCTGTCATTATTTAGTTGTGTTGTTTTGCAGAGAACTACGAAATGGTCCAGACGGGGGTCACCTTTGCCTTGCTGCTTTTGATAACGGCTTTAGCATCGTTTGGAGTGGATGCGATGTGTCCACTGTCCGAAACATTATTCGGGGAATGAATGCAACTGTCAATGCAGCGGAGAACGGAATGGGCACTGCCACTGCGCTTGGGATGCAAAACTGAATAATGTATATTGTCGTGATGGAGGAAACCACTGGATCTGTTTTCCCTGGTCGGACGGCGGATGCCCTTGGGAGAAATGTTATGAATAGCTTAATTGGCCGCGTAAATTATTCTATGTTAGGGTCGTGTTATTATTGGTAGAAGCATACTGCTTCACTTTTTACACATCACATTTATACGAAAGTTATTATTGGGGTATATCATTCTGACTCTGAGTTGTCCAAACTAGATCTGACGCTACTACAGTATTTACTGAAATGGCTTGCTGAATAAATTGATTTGTATGAAGAAGATGTACATACCACAGATCTGGACATTTATTGGACGTTTTTTTTGAGTGAAGCACGGAAAACTGAATTTAACACGATTTCTACAGCTTGCTGTAGATGCATTACCGGTAGTGTTAAAAGAGCTTCGGCAAGTAACTGCGGTGATGTGCAATTTACGGTGTTACCCTTGATAAGCACATCGACGCTTCATTTTGAAATAACGGGCAGTACAGGGAGAAGCCCTCTTTTCTGAATCCATATTTTCTGAAAACGAAAAAATTCTGTAAGTTGTTTCAAAGTATTTTGTGTCGAAAGTCGATACTGAAATTCCTGGAGAGCAGAAACAGAAAATTTTTCTACACTTCTTATCATTTTCTAACAACGGCAGGTCAATGTGGCAGGAAATATATGCATAGCATGAACTACCGGCTCGTAGTACCGGGTGGTACTTCGGCAAGATACTGAGGCATCAACTTTCGGTGCTGTAATTTTATGGAATCAGCACGGCTCATTTCCTAAGCAAACGTGTAATGGCGGCCTACTTTGCATTTGCAAATAATTCAAAATATTATTTCAGAATAAGGGTTTAAGGCAGGCGATAATTTCATGGCATTGTTGTACATTGTGTTATTGTACACTTAACGTTAACAGTATTACTATGTCAAGCGTAAGGTAGCTGTTGTTCTTGTTTAACTTGCAGCTGCACAGAACGGCTCATCCCCCGTATTAATTTAAAATAAAAATTTGTATTACATAGTTTCAGGTACGTAGGAGAACCGTGTCGGTATCACGTGCATTTGGCAGAATGATAATCTATCAAAATGATCTGTTGATCTGGGCGCAACCCAAGGTCCGTTTCCTGTTGTGCTCGCAGAGTGCCGGAATCGCATCCCGTTACACATCGTTTATCGTTCACGACTAAAAGTACAGAAGCTTTATATTCCGGACTTAACACACATAGCTATTCGTAATCTGATAAGGGTGACCGGAATATCGACGGATGCGATTGCTCAGAGATCTAGATCGCAACTTGCGCAAATACAGATCACAGTGTAAACTTAAGTATACAGTATACCGATATTTAAAAGACTGATAAAAGCTGCAGCATCTCTAGTTATTCCAGAACATACTCGTACTTTTCCCCCTACTGCATTCCCAGCTTTCCAAATATCAACACGGTATTGTAATCCAAGCTTTCGGAACCTACTTGTGTCCGAATGTCATAAAACTAAAGCTGTCTTTGGCTTGTTGTTTCAGAGAACACAAAAGAATGAAGGCGTGGGTGACCTTTGTTGCATACATTGCGGTGTTTATCATCGTGTCATGGATGTCTACCGAGGCTAATGCTGCAGAGCATCACCACTACAATGGATGCAACTGTCAGTGCGGTGGAGAATTAAACGGGCACTGCCATTGTGCATGGAACTCCAAAATGCCGAATGTGTACTGCTGCTCAGGAAGCAATCACTGGATCTGTTTTCCTTGGGCCAATGGGAGATGTCCCTGGGCGTAAATTAACGACCTACCGCTAAAATGCCCGTTTAGATGAATGAAACAGCAATTCGAAGCGATACAGTTAGCAATATACTCTTGCTAGGCTGAAAAATGTGCCCGCCCGCCACACTATTCTTTTCTTTGTTATATCATACGTTACAGGCAGGAATACTCACATTTGCTTGCTTTTAAATCATGTTGCTTATACGATAAGCTTCTCTGCATTTCCTGTATTATTTTGGGAAATAAATTCCGCGACAGTTATTAAACCGGAAACTGATTGCGAATGTGGAATCGGTCGAAATCATTGTGAATTTTCCAAACAACTACGAAATCAAGGGTTACGGTGTTAGTGTATTGTAGCCGTACAAATGAGATCTGTAGCGAAGATGTACATCTCACATTGGTGCTTGTTCAACCGGAAAGATCTGAATGTGTACCTGTACAAATTGACCAGTTCTAACATGGATTTTCTAGGCTTTTGAGATTGTCTGATGTTCTGAAATCATTCATGCTCTTGCCCGTGCCCTTGCTCTTCCCCAGTGACTTTCAGCTGATTAAAAAGGTTTGTGCACGTTGACAATCGCGCCGGTATGGTTAGAATGTTCGAATTTGCGTAACTGACATTTGGGTAATTCGCTAACTCGTAACATCACCGACGCTCTTAGACGAACCATCAAATCTCGTTTTATCGTGGTACGGGTAGATTAACCCACTCCACTTTAAATGGCAGCTTAGCAGTTGCCGTTGTAGTACGTTTTACAGTTAAGCCGGCTCCATTTAACGTTTTTGAGGAAACAGAATGATCTCGCCACTTGCTTCTAAATGCAAGATTAGTATTTTATTGTCAAACCTACGCCTTTATTCGTTTGTTTATTTATTGCTTTATTTGTATGCTTGACGTTTTGATCAACCAGTACGTAGTCATATCGCCTCGGCCTTTTACTTTCAGCAGACCTCGAAGCTCAATCACATAATCATGATCGTTGAACTCTTCTAAAAGTTGCTTAGAGCTTGAGCTAAGATGTATCTGCCCCGGCATCCCTTGGCTGCACATTCGTGATGCAACGTTGATCGTGTCGCCAAATCTGTAAGGAGTAAATTCGTATTCAATAATAATGTATGTAATCTGTTAGGAATTGATGCGTCAGATCCAAAAGCAAAAAAAGGTGCAAACCATACAGGCAATATCGGGGCCTCTTGACTCCAATTACTCCCGCAGCACATGGCCCTAAAAGACATTCTTAGGTTGCCATTCTCAAGCGTGCCATACGCAATTTGGGCGTAACCTACCGGAATGGATTCCAATTTTTATGCGCAGATCCTTGGGCAGATTGAATGTGGGTTCCAGCCCCAGCACTCGCAAGGCAAAGTTAGCTATGCGTCGTACATGCTCGGAACCAATTCGCTTGGGTAATCCACTTGCTACCTGTATCACGTTTGGCAAACTCAAATACCCACTTCGTTTATAAAACCGTAAAATGGTTGAAGTTTACAACACGGACAGCTTATTGGCCGGCTTTTATGACCTTTTCTGCTGACAAGTTTTTGCGCTGTAGAGTCCGTGTTTCGTTGCCCAGATACAAGTGATCAGAACAGTTTAAACAATGCACTCATGCCTTACCAAAAACGAATCCAGCACAGCTTCCACTTTATACGTCTCACATAACGTGGCCACTGCATCCAGGCAGTCTTCCACCAAGGAAATGAGCCCGAATATCATCTCCGGAGGTGCATCCAGCACATAACTGGCAAATCCGTCCAGTTGAGCGAACGTGATTGTTACACAGTCAAATAATTCCGGTGCTACAAACTGTCCAGCACGAAGATTTTTCACGATTTCTCTGTAAAAACATTTATGATTATTACTCCATCAAAGTAGGATCTGTGTTTCGAAAATCTATACTTCGGTAAAAACTGCCTGACGAGCGCATCACAGCGCATTCGTGCATCTTTCAACGCTCTGGAGCGCTTTTGGACTTCTTGTTCTAACTGATTGGAATAGTAGCAGAACCTCCGGTAAATCTTATCGAATAGTTTATACTGGCTGTTTTCCGGGGAAAGCAGCGGCGAGAGCTCTTTCAGTTGCGAGCGCAGCTGTTTGACAGTCGGTCGGTCTTCCGGAATCACACTTAAGCAGCCGTGAATGGCACTGGCCAGTTCGGCTATTTCCATGTAGTCAATAGCAGCTTCCAGTGGGTTATCGCGGTTATTTTCCGGGTAGATTATAGTTGCAGTGCCTAAAGCAGAAAACCAACTACATTATAAATAATTGATGGAGCCGGATAAAACCAGTCGTTTTCTGTCACCGAACATCTCCTCCATTTTTTTGTACAGGGTTCCGCTCGTTAATATGTCGTACAGGACAAATCCTGTAGAAAATACATCGACTGCTTGCCACGACTTCGGTGCGGTGTCCCATTGGTCAATTTCGTCCAGCTCCGGAACTAGCCAAAAATACTGTTCCCAGGGTGCGTTAACTGGACCGTGGCAGTTCATACTGCCGTCAAGATCAATGAGTTCCAGTTCATCGCGAATTCTATCGCTAGCCAAATTCATGAGCTTCAGTGTAAAATGCTTATCGATCCAGCAGTTGAATACACTGAGCCGTCCATGGTAAGCTACCTTGGAGTTGTGAATATACTGCAAACCCTGTCAAGTGGACAAATTTTACTAAATTTTGTCGAGCTTCATAACAGTACTTCCGAGTCTCTGAGTTACTGGTAAGGTTGTCAGCTGTACAGTAGAAGCAGTCGTTGGAGGAGAATAAAAATCTACAGACCTCAAGGAAGTCCATGACAAAGGAGCTTGTGAATGTAAAATCTGCGCCCAGCACACCGTTGCACATTTGCGGCAGGTTCCCTCTGGAGGGGCACGCGAAGATCACCATTACGCTGAATCTCTCAGCGGTCAAGTTAATGCTTATCCCATAAAGCCGACAGACATTCTGATGATCCAACCCCCAGCACTGCAAAGTGCAACATGATAAAATTATTTTTGAAGCACTGCTGTACAGCGCTCTCTGTGAAATAAAGTGATCCGCCTCTTGATCTGCAATGTACTCGCACCTTACCTTTCGAAGAAGCCGTAGTAAGTGCTGACTGTTGGATAGTTCCTTAAAACTCAAATGACCTTTACCGCGCGCAACGGGGAAACATGCAACACCTTTTCCATGGAGCGATGCGAACCGGACAGCTGTCGCCTGGTTCATTGGAAACTTGAAAGTCAGGATCTCTTCAACGGCAGTGTGACTTACCGAGTGCGATATCATAGATACAGCGTCATTGTACGGGTGTTCAGGTCCAGCAAAAAGTGAAGACGCGTATGAGTTGAAGTAAGATGGTGCTTTCAGGTCATCATTGTCCACTTGCCACCAAGGATCGTGTAATAACCTTTCTTTGTACCTTATTTTCGTGTACCTGCCGTTCGGTTAAACCAATTTCATATTGGTTGCAAATTCTGAATTGATATCGGTCATAAATTCTGTACCTCCAATGGAATATAGAAAGTATCGCTGCGACGATGAAAGAACCAGAGACTGTGAAGATAGCGATGAGCATCGACGTATTATCGCCTAGAAGGCAATAAAATTGCTTCTATGCTCGTGAATATAATGGGTTTCAAAAATTTTAAACTATGGAAAGCTGAACTCCTTACTTTTCGGCAAACAAGACGGTTTGTTGTTAGAATAGCCACAATAAGGTTCATTTGGTGGAGGGAATGGCTTAGAGGAGTTGGCCCATTCGGTTACGCGGGTAGCCTCCATTAATGTATCATTCTTTCCGGTTTTAAATAAGAGTGGCTGCAAGTACGCTCGAGTAGGGTTCAGGCGGTAATACATAGTAATCACTCGTATATTGCACCCTAGAAGATAGATTTCTTTACAGTACGAATGCCGAATGAGTCAAAGTAGGTGACGACAAAATCCGTGCGTCGCTGTCCCGTGTTGTCGATGTACAAACTACCGTACTCATCGGTGTACGTTCGATTGAGGAACATCCGCGCTAAAGCTCTGCCATCCTGATAATCCAAATCATCCACCCCCGAGAGAGATTCATTAAGGAACTAGCGAACAAACAGATACAGTGGCGCGTGACCGGCCAGGTTAAGACGGCCCGTTCCGCCGATAAATCTCCAGTAGCAACGAATTACGTAATACATGCAATTAGTATCTGTAACATTCACTTTCCTTACCGCAGCGGTCGCCGTTATTGCCCGGTAGCTACTGATGAGATTGGGAAAGTTCTGCAAAATATTCGTAATATAGTAGCTCCACGCAGAACTGTTCTGAGCGATTTCATTCACTACACGATGGATATAGTGTGTGGCCTTGTGCAACTACGTGCTCACCTGGTCAGATATGTTGTATGATAAGTTGTAATCTCGATAAGAACGACGTATGAACTCCATTCCTAGTTGTAAATTGGGGGTCATGTCGACGTTTTTTGGCTGAACAATGAGCAGGGACTGGTATGCTCGAAAGGCAAGCTGTCGTAACGAAACGCGAAGATGGTCATCATCAGCATACAAGATACTAAACGTGGACCACTCGTTACATCATCATCGTTGTCGTTGTATCTCCAATTAAAATCGCCAAGAATTGGTTTGTTCCGCATAGTTTCGATCGCTATATAAACCTAAAAGACGAAACACGAACTGTAACCTTACCGGTAAATTGCTATGTTTACACTACTTAAATCGGCGTAACAATGCTTACATATTCTCCGTTTGTCATACCCATTTTTGCTGCGGTAATCTGCAAAACTAAACTGTACCAGTAATATCGACGTAGTCTTTGACAATTACTTCCATTTCCTAAATGTGGTGCCAGTAACTTATTAAGATCGTACCGTACCAAGAGTTCGCGCAAGAATACGGCATGCCCGAAGAATAAAATGACTGCAAAGAATATCACTATAATATGATCATCCAAAAACAAAACAGTGGTTGGTGAAGTACGATTCTGTACGAATGGCTTTACCGCGGCTGACAGCAGCAACATCCTTCAAAATCGAGTCGAAGGCACCAAAGGGCACTTTGGTGCTTTTAGTTGCTATCTTTTGCACAAAGGCCTTAATGTGAGGCTGCTTTTCCAGCTCTTTCTGGACAAACGATGCTACAATCGCAAAAACGCCGGGATCTCCCGGATCGATAATAATAAAAACTGAGCTCCAACGGAATTTATTTAGTATTTGGATGTACAGCTGGCCACATTGGCCGGTGGAGAAATCGTTCATAGCAATCCACGAGGGATTCAGGATACGATCGCTGATCTGTGGCGAAGCTGACATTCTAAAGACGTTTTGCCATTTCAATGCGGTCTTCTGACAATGCAAATAAAGACAAATGATACGTTACGTAACGTACGTTGTAATCCATAAACTGTTCCATACGCGCATAAACTGTGGGATCTGTGTGGTTTCAAGACCAGCTAGAAAGAGCAGCGAATAGGCATTCAGCGTTGCATCATTCATACGTAATATTAATTACAAGTACAGTATTCGCATTGCCGAATGCCGACGCGTTAATGTTTCAAAAAGTCAATTACAGGTTAGGAAAAAAAGCTCTTTTCCGTTAACAGACCGAAGTGGTTAGTACCAGTTCCTGTGCAAATCAAGCCAACGCTACGCTTTCGTGATCTATGTACTCGAGTAGTCCTAGTTGGATTAATTACCTTTTCGTGCTTCATTGTACTCATTCATTTATCCACGTTTTAGTCTATACAGTATCTTACTTGGATTGATATAAATTGTGGTGTCATCCCGTTGCCGTCGGCTGTAATGCCATTCAGTTAAAAGCGGCACGGCTACATCAGCCAAATCCGGCGGCTTGCTGTCCGGTCGCACCGGTTCATACAAAAAATTCAATTTAAAACGCATAGTTTCCGCATATTTCTCCCGTACATAGTCTGCGCCCACGGACAGCGCGGGACCGAGATAAGGAAATGTTCCATAATTGGTGATGGGAGCGATACGTCCGATGGCTACAAAACTAATGTTCAAAACAGCACCAGCATTTAGAACATAGCGATCAAACACCATCAACAATGAAAACCAGTGCATTCTTGTGGTGATCAGGAACTCCAGATGCGGTTGTGGTATATTTAAGTCGTTAACCGCCAAATAAAAATCGTGCTGACGAAGCTGATACCGTTGTAAAACGGCTAATATGTGGGCAGGTAAAGCCAACTGTGGTAATGAGTTCATACTCCGTGCATGCAGATTCAGCGCTTATCTGTATAATGTAGTAAGAATATCCAACAACATCCGTTGATACGTCACTGCGGCTGGAAAGCTTGCCGTGAGGCTGGATCACGAAAATTAGTTTAAAGGATTAGATATACGGTTTCCCGTGTTGCTATCCATCATCCATGTACACATAGAATGGCAACAATCTTCGCATGCCATTTTGATTTACCGTTACACACTAACCATAAGTTTAAAAATATTTGTAGAATGATCATGAAATTCAGACCGCGGAGTCATCAATGACCAAACATCCCTTAGAGTAAGGGGTATCACATAAGTATATGCGCTCCTTAAATTTTGTGTCCCGAGACGCTCCACTGCATATCATTAGGCAATTTAGATCTTCTCATAGGAGTACTGAGCAGACAGGTTTGTGCAGTTGCATAAGACATTCACCACGTTTCCGGGGGGGTTTAATTTATTAAAAGGGTTAACTTCGATAATTTTCCGCATGCCACTCGGTATCCGCATTCACGTGAAGTGTATCAAATCGCAGTCAAATGTCATTCGCAGTAAATGTAAACAATCGCTACATCGGTAAAAACATAATGAGCATTGAGCACCATAATAGACAAATTTGTAACAGCCACTGATAACTTGACCGCGCAAGAGGAATTTCAGTGTTAAACTATTTATTCGACAGATCGATTTATGTGCGCACTACGCATCGAGATTGATAGTGCCGTACTCTTCAAACACGAAGCATGTCTTGGTCTGCAGTGTAAAATGAAAGCTTGTAGATCTACTGTGGAATACAAGAAATTTCTTTGCACGTTGCACATCGAGGTAACCACTTCCGGAACAAACAACAGTTACCGCAGTGTAAATGTTTCCTGTATCTGACGTGATGGTCACCTTGAACCGCACCTATAAAGAGTGCAAGAGAATGCATGCAAGAGCTGCCTTTAGCGTACTTTTCACGAGCAGTTATGTTTCCTTGCGATTAAGTCAAGGTGCTCCACAATAGCATGCGGCAGGTTTACGGACCGTTTTAAGGTGACAGTACAGATTACAGTAATTTATTCTACATGAAGAAGACGTTTACAAAGGGCAGTACACCTTTGTTCTTTATTGACAATCACACTTGATAAAATCCTTTGAACACTGCAGTTTACTGGCTATTAACAGCTGATCAACAAGAAAATAATAAACTACATAATATTGTCGTGTATAAGCGTTCACGCCGGTTAAGGCTCCATGAACAATCTTTACTCTTCCACGCCTGTAATGCTCAATCGGTAGGCACTCGTACTCTCAAACTGTAACAGAAGAACTATGGTGGAGATATGACGAACGTTTCAGGAACACGAAGATCAGGAATCCCTCAGGAACACGCTAACCACAACTTCCGGTCGTAAGTCCTGTGAGGATCGGCAAGAGCTAGGACGATTGTGTCACGAGCAAACCTGTATTAATGCAATAATCCGGGAGCGATCACGTACACCAGAAGGAACAAGTATTGCTGTCTCTTTATCCAATTCACATCACAGTTCACAACGCTAGGAAATTGTAATTAGAAGCAGTCTCAGAAGTAAATCTCAGACTACTGATACCGATATTAGGCATCACAAGAACTTATATAGACTTCGCGTTATGACATCATATACATCGCTAGTAAAAGAGAACAGCAAATCACAGCATTGATTGACTAGATTATCCGTTGTGTTGCAGGTGGAAGGCGGACAGTCAGCATCCGTACGTACATCCGGCGTATGATCCTACTCCCATACGTCACCCCCACGAACGATGCTTGGCCGTGCCAAAATAAACAATCCATCCCGCAACATCCCAGTGCGATTGTGCACTTCCACCCATCCTGATCCCGATCCACCGCACAATCCACGTGTCCATCCGATGCCCAATGCGACTGTACGCCGCGATTCCGAGAGAGTGAGTGTGTAGAATCCTTTGGCGAAGAGGCATCCGGAAGTCCACGGGTTTGGCAGGGCGGAGGTCCAGGGATCCAGGAAGGCAAACTATGAATTACTACTAATGTGCCGTTTACTAGATGGTGTTTTGTATGTACATTCGACGGCATAAAGCTTTATTAGATGTGAATGTAAAATCTGAAAATGTGATTATGTACGATTCTGTGTAGAACTATGGATTAAGGGAGCAGCAGCAGCAAATCAACCAACCAGTAGTATTCTTACGAACTCTCGAGTACTACATCACATCGTATAGCAACAAATGTCAACAACAACAAACAAGCTACAAATAAGCGTATCGAAATGGTGAGTGCAATCTACCAGCGCACCGATACAATAATGTAAACCAGTAAAAGGCAAGAAAATCAAAAGTCAAGGCAGTGCAACAAAGCCAGTAACAATATGAGATCAAAGAAAGCAACCAAGGTCAATGTCAGAGGTGAGTCAAGGTTACTTGCCAGCACTGGGAGCCAATGAAAAGAGACCAGTAATACCAGAGCCAGATGCAGCGGCATCCAAACGGCGAGAAACTTCCGCAGCCATCTGACGTCGGCGATCAGCATCCAATTCCCGCTGCTGTTGCTGAGCAAAATAACCAGGCACAAAATTATGCTCGGCCGAACCAACAGGACCGGAAGGCGCAGACGGCGCACGCGGGCGATCAGCCGGAGAACGGTCGCGGGCATCACGGACAATCGGCACTTCAGCAAGTGGTAACACATTTGGTGGCAAACCGGGAAATTCAGCGTTCTGCGGGGCTTGCTGCTGCGCAGGTGGAATGACAGCCGGGGGAACGACAACGGCATTCAAGGCTGGTGGGCCATGTAGATTGACAGCAGGGTTGACACCATTGGGCTCACCTGCAGCCACATTTCCGTTGCCTTGGACCGGATTCGGTGCATTCGCTGCTTGGTTGCCCGGGTCGTCAACCTCCATGTTTGCGGCGGCAGCTTCCACTGGAGCAACTGGGTGATCGACTCCATCAGGTACTTCAATAACTTCCGGTGCGCCCAGAGGTCGGCCATTACGACGCCAATGATCGTTTCCACGACGCAAGTTATTGTCTCCAAAATTCCTATGATTTCCTCGGCCGTACGGACGAAAGTTGCCACGGTAAGCACCACGGGCTCCACCCCTTCCTCGGTGATTATAACCGGCATTATACTGCTGTTGCTGCTGGTTAGAAGACGAATGAAAAATGGCGTCCACTAACTTGTCAAAAGCTCTATTAGGATCAATAGGCGGCATGCCCAAACTAAAGAAAACTAGTGACCTTAAACGCTAAAAATGTAAAGGGAAAAAACGTCAAAATCACAGTCTACACACAACGAAAATCCAGCGTACCAGAAGGCCGAAACGAAAAATCCACAATGCCGATTTCAGCACACTACGCGCAAGTGATTTTATACCCGTCTGCTGGAGCGAAATTTTAAACTGCGGCAGATTCCATACTTGTAAGAGAATCAACCAATCAGCGCTTCGCGCTATATCCTTTTAATTCAATGTAAGCAAAGATCAGATCTATTCAGGTGCAACGAAAGATGCAGCACTGATATCGAGAGCGCGGATACAAAATATTAAACGACCAGTTCATTGACTCAGCACGGCGCATAAAATTGAAAGATAAAAATTGGATGAAAATAGACGCAAAATTTCTTAGATTGAACAATAGAGGCTGCCGAAGAAAAACGAATCATAAAATTTGGTCATCTAATACGCAAATTAAGATCAAAAACGAAATGACAGATCATCAAATTCTGGCAAAAATGCACGGCATGAAGGATAAGAATCAATAATGGAAGATTCACAATTCATCAGAATGCGGCTGCTGGTTGGCATAAACTACTGGTTCCGCAAATTCAGGTGAATCTTCCCGAGCGACAGCAGCGACAGGTGGCAAAGCTGGAACAGCCGGCTGCAGAGACGGCAAGGGATCTACATCCATCTTCTCCAAGTCAGATGCATCGTCGCCCTCACAATCAACTTCCATATCAACATTCTCGTCGGTTTCGACATCAGCATTCTGATCAGGGGATAACACAGCCGAAGGATCCTCACGATCTTCCCCATCATCCGAAACGGAAACTTCACTTGGTGCAGAAGACGAGGACGGCGAGACCTCCTTGTACTTGCGCTTCTCCCCACGAGTGCGGAAATTATACGGGCGGGCAGCAGAAGTTGAAACCTGCGGTTCAGCATTTTCCACGGCACCAGCATCAGCAACCGCCTGACGCGCAACCGCATCCGCCTTCTGACGCTTGGCGATTTCTTTAAATAGACCAATAAAAACAGGATTGAGATAGAGATATTGGCCTCGTAATTCGAGAGCGATAGCCGTAGGAAGCATCCGAGTGAATGTACATAAGTCAAAACGGTTAATTAAAGCTCCGTCACGGAATAAAAAGCGCGACAAGTATAGACGTGGATAAAAAGGATGAAAGCGGTTTAGTCCAGAAAAGTAGGCTTCAGACACAGCCAGCTCACCCTGCTTATCCGCAATAGCCATTCTTGGAAATACTCCGGAATGCGCTCGTTTGCGAGCCGTCTGCTTAGTCTTAAAGACCGGCCGCGGTGCATCCGGGTTATAGGGCGCGTATAAAATTCCGCCTTTACGCAGATGCTCCTCATCTGATATAAACAAGAAGTAACAATTAACACCAGCGAGGCGAAGAATTATCCCCGCTA